GCCTGAAAGGTACAGAAACACGCTCACTACTCATTGCCAAGAGGAAAACAAAAGATAAGGCAGCCTGGTGTTTGAATCTTTGGGTTAAAGTGGAGCTGGGGTAAACTATCTTTGCCCTTGCTGCTCTAATACCACTCACTGTGAAGAACAAAAACACATAGAGTTTAGTAACTTCCTCTGTTTGATTAGAAGACGTTTGATCAACTCAGTATTCATAGATCTGGAAAAAAGTACTTCACGGTGTAAGTAGGGTCATTCTTTTGTTGATGTGTGTTCTGACAGGCCTGTTTATTTTTCAAACTCTTGCACTGTGCCAGGTTCAGATCCAGGAACAGCAGGACCAAACCGTTGGCCAGGTTCTTCAAGTGGCTGCCCCCTCTCAGCAGGACCTGCAGGGAATCTCAACACATTTTATCCAGCAGGGAGAGCTCACAGAGGAGCAGCAGCAGCAGGTACTGGATGTAGTTAAACAGTTACCCATATCAAGTGCTTTATGTGATTCTGGTTGTTCATTATTTCGACTGTGTTCCACAGATTCAGGCGCAGCTGGTGGCTGCTGTAGCTGGAGGACAACAAATCCAGTTGCAAGGAATGCAGCATATTCAGTTGCCAGGCGGCCAGCAAATTCAACTTCAAGCTGGTCAACATATTCAACTACATGATGGTCAACATATTCAGCTACAGAGTGGCCAGCAAATTCAGTTACCGGGTGGCCAGCAAATTCAGCTCCAGGGTGGCCAACAAATTCAACTACACGATGGCCAGCAAATTCAGCTACAGGGTGGCCAGCAAATTCAGTTACCTGGTGGCCAACAAATTCAGCTACAGAGTGGCCAGCAAATTCAGTTACCCGGTGGCCAACAAATTCAGCTACAAGGAGGCCAGCAAATTCAGTTACCGGGTGGCCAGCAAATTCAGCTACAGGGGGGCCAACAAATTCAGTTACCGGGGGGCCAACAAATTCAGCTACAGGGAGGCCAACAAATTCAGCTACCAGGTGGCCAGCAAATTCAGCTACACAGTGGCCAACAGATTCAGCTACAGGGTGGCCAACAGATTCAGCTACAGGGTGGCCAGCAAATTCAACTACAAGATGGCCAACAGATCCAGATTCGGACCATAGAAACCTCGTCTCCATCACAGCAACAGGACTCTGCCAGAGAGGCAGAGAGGAGGTCCTCCACTGTGTCAACTGTCCTTCAACCTGCCAAGAAGCGTAAGGTGGATGTCCCTGTGTCGGTGTCCTATGCAGTCCCACAGGGCCAGCAGGTAGCCACAGTTGTAGCCATCCCTCAAGGGCAGCAGCAGAGCTATGTGTCCCTACGACCAGATTTGCTCACTGTTGACAGCGCTCAACTGTACAGCACTACAGGAACCATCACTGGTCCCACAGGCGAGACCTGGACCATCCCTGTGTACTCCACTCCCCAGCAGCAGGGGGTTACTCACATCACCATACCACAGGACACATACAACTCAATGCAAGTGTCCACCACCAATGGTAAGGACAAAATGTCCCCCAGTTCATCAAGGTCTGCAGATGTGCAGTCGCCCTCAACTGGGGCGCAGGAAGAAATAGTGCAGACCCTGTTCCCAGCGCAGTTCATGAACGGGAACATTCATATCCCTGTGGCAGTGCAGACTGTAGGAGGGTCTTACAACACCACGCAGTCGGTCCATATCTGGGATCCAAATCAGCAGCATGGCCAAGGAGACGATGGACAAGACCAGCAGCTCCATCTGCAGGTTCGAACAGACTTTCTTTGTAATCTGTTTTTATTATTAACCACATTCTGTCACTCTTCCATGGCACTGATGTAATGATCAAATAATAGCATAATAATGTTACTATACCCATTTCAAAGAATAATGAACCTTTTATTCCTAAGAAAATTCAAACATCTGAATTTTATAGACTAAACAAGTGAATACGAAAAATGACATGTAAGATGTTGCTACTTAAGTAATGACACAGTTATCTAGCTGAGTTATCAGGGATTACAAAGATGCTTTTCATTCTTGCTGCACTGTATTGCAGAAAGTATTAACTGATTATTTCATTTTGGTTTTGTGCAGGGTCACATAGAGACGGAGGCTCATGTGGAGCAGCCTACAGAGATCATGGTTCCTATCTCCCTGAAGCCAGAGGAGGGCCTGGAGGTCTGGCGTCTTTGGGTTAAGAGAAAAAATGCAGAGCTTAATAAGCAGGAAAAGACAAAGCTTGCACCCATAGGACGTAAGTCAACTAATCACTATTAGCACACACATTCCTATTTGATATTAATCAAACAGCCCTGATGTCTATAAATGTATACTTACTCAAACAAGAATAGTTTCTTTTTCATTCCGGATACATCAATGTTCATGTTTTACTTCTTAATAACTTTCATTCTGCTTTAAACTGAGAAATAAGCATGTTGATTTAGTTATAATAGCACTGATAAAAACGTTTCCTGTGCTCTTCTGTCCGTGGCGTCTTACAGGTCGTCAGCCGCTGCGTTTTCAAGAAGACTTGGTGTCAAGTGCAGTAGCCGAGCTGAACCTGGGTCTTTCCCTCATGACGCAAGAGGCACGAGGATCAGAGGAAGAGCAATTCACATCCGATGTTCTATATTATGTTTTCTTGTGCATACAAAAGGTTAGCTTTCCCATGCTTAACTTGTGCATCATGCCAACACTCTGTCTGCTTAAAGTTTTAACCTGCTCATTTTTATTTCTTTGATCAGTATCTCTCTGAAAATGGACGTGTGGATGACATTTTCTCTGATCCATATTACACACGATTTTGTGGGTGTTTACACAAAATTCTGGATGGTTGGAGACCCAGTGTCCATCCCTTAGGTTAGAGACAATCAACACTAATGCTTGTATTTCATTGTGTTATAGAAAGACTTGCTCATTGTGTGTTTTCATCTTAGGTTATGTCATTCCAAGTCATGTGACAGAGGAAATGCTGTGGGAGTGCAAACAGCTCGGTGCACATTCACCATCCACACTGCTCACAACCCTAATGTATTTCAACACTAAGTGAGTAACCCTGTCTCAGACTGACCTGAATATGTTCTCTTTAATGACACAGACGTGCACTTTAGATGTCTCTGATGTGCTAAACGTGTGTTTTTCACAGGCATTTCCAACTGATGACAGCTGAACAACACATGAACGTTGCTTTCTCCAAGGTCCTAAGACACACGAGGAAGAACCCCGCTAATGCCAAGGACAAAGCCACCAGTATCCGCCTTCTCAAAGGACAAGGTCCGCAGAGTGCAGGACAGAAAGGTGCTCAATACAGTAAGCCTAATGTGGGAGGAAGCCATGCTATGAGTCACAGACTTGGACAGCAGAAGTTTCTTGTGCTGATGTGTTGTGTGTCTTCTTTTTCAGGAACTGACGACATGTATGACGAGCAGATTGAGGATCCAGAGAATCCTCTTCGCTGCCCCATTAAACTTTATGACTTTTATCTCTTCAAATGGTGAGTGACTCGATCACATACATCCTGTGTAACTGGATCATTCATCAGTGTGCCTCATCGGCAACCTCTTACTATTGGGGACTGGGGCTGATTAAATGCCACATAGAAGTAAAGATGGGTACCTAAACATGTTTTTGAGAGAAATAACAGCACTGTGTAAAGGCTTAATAGCTTATTGACCATTCCCATGATCTATTATGTCTCCTAAGTTTTGCAGCTATTTTTGGGTGGATATCATTTGTATTACCCAGATCTGTGCGCAATAATTAAGACCTTGAAGAACACCATAGGAACATTTGGTTGGCATTTTTGTAATGGGGAGACTTCTGAGCTTTTTCAGATATCTTGAGAGGAGAGATTACAACTTTTTTTCAAGTATAGCTTTCCTAAAAACGTACCTTTTTCTTTTTCCAGTCCTCAAAGCGCTAAGGGGAGAAACGATGCATACTACATGACTCCAGAGCCTGTCGTTGCACCCAACAGCCCGATGTGGTACTCGTCTCAACCCCTCACGAGTCAGCAAGTGGAGCAGGTGCTGGCCCGCATCATCGTGGTCCGAGAGATCCAGGAGATCTTCGGTGTTGTAGAGGGCATCATGAGCTAGGCTGAGAAGACTCCCTGGACTCCAGTCACTGATTGTTGACTATGCAGTATCCATCCTGACTCTATAAACCTCAAGCCCCGTCATCTCAAATCAAATGAGACAACTTCTGAAACACCGTACAACAATTGTTTTTATCTCTCTAAGGAGTTCATCTTGAATGAATCTTTTTTTTCTTACATTTTCTGTTTTCAACTGCTGGGTTGGACTGTATTCTTTGACCACCTTTTGTAAGCCATTGCCTCTGTAACCTTTAAACTGGCAAGTAAGGGAGGATTTAGTCTCACCACTGCTGGACCTATTTGACCTCCTGCCCTCTGAGCTCATCAGAGGGGGTACATTTTTCTGTAAAAGTATCAAAACAATGAGGATATTAAACCCTTTACTACTTAACCTTGCCGACTATTTACCACGTTTGCGTTTTCTTCAAAGTCCCACTATGATACATATTAATGGACGAATACAGGACCACTTCTTACAACTGTTTTTGTATATTGACTGTATTTTGAATCCTGTATTGTTAAGTTCAGAGCTTAAAAACGTGTGCCTGTTTTCAAAAAAGACTTCTATGCTTGTGAGAGTCAAACCTCAGATACAAGGTCAAAGTGCTATATTGTGGTCGTTCAGGAGATTAGAGACTTTTTTTTCTCAGTTCATAGCTAGTGATTTAAACCATCAAGGATATTTGCCAACTTATTCCTGTATGAATAGTGGGTTATTAAACAGGACATGCAGATGAAAAAACATTTCTTTAGCTTAATATAATCATGACAAGCAATTCAAAAGTGAGAGTAATTTAGCGCTGTGTTAGTGCAAAGTATGGATTATTTGTGGGCCTTTTTTAAAGATGACTTGTCACACCAACAGCAGCCTGGCTATGCCTCCCTTGATAAGACGTGTACATTTGGATTTACTACGTTGTAATACAGTTCTGCTTCATTTGTTTATTACTAAAAAACGAGTTGTATAGCACTGTACATTTTCCGTTTGATAATTTTGCATCTCACATTTACAAAGCTTGATATTATTTAATTGCCCATTTAACCTAAATGGTGCACTCCTGTCCCATGTTGCAGCTGAAATTCTTTACAGCAGTTGCTCACTGCATTTATACATCCTTTGGATTGCTAACAAAAAGGTGGTTATAGCTTGTCCTTTTCATCCGAAAACGTTAAACACAGTCGATTCAACGTCTGTTTGAAGTATTTAGGCATGGGACAGGTCACGTTGATGTCTTCTTGTGTGTTTCCTGCCAGCGTCAGCTGTCGAGCGAGCACGTGAAGAGGAAGATGGCGGATCTTGCTCTGCTCCAGTCCAAGCTTTCCCAGCACACGCTCCGGTAATTTCTGCGCACCAAAATGAACAAATGTGTTACTTATTATCAAAGGTGCACATACTGAGTGAGAGAAACTGGGCTCTTGCAGAAATGTTGGTCCTCATAACCTCATATCTGTTTTATGATATACCCAAGTGAAAGCAAACCAAAAGTCAACCTGACATTTTGAATTAAAGAATAATCATCCATCAGATTTATAAAGGCACTCTTTAATGCCAATAGGGTGGGTTTGAGGATCAGTCATATTAAGAGTAGCTGGTTTGTTAACTGGGAGGGAGATGAAATTAAAAGATGCTGCTCTTCCCCAGCACAAATACTTACAGTTTAAATACATTTATAAAGAATTCAAGGATATACATGTGACACATCTCACTGTCTCCTGTTGAGGTTTATCAGCCTTATCACCACACAGGTTACTTCTCATTTTCAATTTCCACCACCAAGGGCGAAAGATAGATCATATATCGTACGATCAGTTGGCTGTCAGCAGCTATTTACATTATTTCTGATTATTTTGGCTTCTCTACCTCGACTGTAGAACCAGTAGCTGTTTACAACTAGAGGCGATTAAAACATTCATGTGTGATTTGCATAATCTGGGAAAGTTGATTCCAAAGGAAAACATCTACAACATGTTTAGGATTTTTTTTTAACTATTTGAGATACAGTAATGGTATATTTAATACAACTTCTATTAGGCAATTATTATATAATGGGTTAATGAAGCGCATGGACCTATCAAAGTACAGCTTTAACAACGGGTATGCCTCTGTTTTCCCCTTGTCAAAACGCAGCTGATGATATTACACTCTTCCTTAAGGGTCATTTTCTATTTGTTAACTTATTGGGAGCAAATGTTGTCTTGTCTCTGTGTTACAATGTAAACATCTTACCTGAGGAGCCAGTTTGTTTGAGTGGGAATATTTGTGGTCTCCAAGAATGGGGCATGTCAGACCAAGTGCCATGTGAACTCTCATCTGGTGCTTCACTTCTGTGGAGGAAAGAAGGACATTGTGTTGAAAAAATGTATCCAGTCTTCTTGAAAGGAAATTTGACAAGCTGAAATGGCAGTCTGGTAAAAGAATGAACACCCATCTTACCAGTTAAAGGCTGGAGCTCCACGAGGCTACAGCCACTGCCGCTGTCCAACACTTTGTACTTGGTCACTGCAGGATGGGATTGCCGATTGGCGCGGACTTTGGTTACACCTTCGCCTGTATCACTCACTCTGAAAAGAGGACTTAGTGCCATCTGAAATAAAAGAAAAGGTTTATAGAATAGTGATACCAAGAATGATAATTATTTACATTTTTATATTTAAAGATATTTGACTTTTTTTTACTAAAAGCAACTATAAATGGCAAAAGTCTACTAAGTTAACACAATGTGACCAATAGCAAACATACTATACTGTAGCAGCTCTCTGTAATTGTAAAGCTGCAACTGGTATGCGTACTCACAACTTTAACGACAATTCATTATCAAATTTAGATTTCATTTTCTGTCAGCTGAAAAAACGAATTGACACATTTTTACTGAAGAGTCACCTTGTAGTGCGGGCGAGGGCCTGGGACCTCTCGCTCTATGATGGGGATGTCGATCACTCCTTCAGATGGAACAGGTACACCCACTATGACCACCCTGAGGAGGTGAAAATGTTAAGACTCAAATATCTTTAACCATTGTGCATCACTAGGGATAATATAATAAGTTTATAATAAACTGTGCAGCAAAAAGACAGACACTCAGAGACCCTTATGGACAACAAATTCCTCATTAAAAGACACAATCTCTGATCCCACAGCAATTACAGCAAAACGTCATCATTTGCATATACGTCTTTACATCCGGAACCCTAGTTTCAATGTTGTAATTTTTACAGTTTTCCACCAGATTGAACCAGTTTCTCATGGTTTCTTTATGAGGCATCTAATGCTAACTTCCTGCTCCTTTCCTATCATTGACATATCCCAGACTATTACAACAAATCTAAATTCATCCTGGGATTAAGCATCAAAATCCATTTATGTTAGAAATTGTGTATACACATTGATTATTTGGTACTGTCTATGAAGTTTGTTAAATTGTTTACCCGAGTTAAAGTTTCACACAGACATGTATTTCTGTGACATCAGATAAAAGGGTATGCACTGCAGTGTTATGTCCTACTTCTTCTCTTACCAGTATTTTCTCTGCACTTGGTTATTTGTGACAAGGCTGTGTATGTGCTGCACTACTTCTTCACTCCTGGCCAGCAGGAACACTCCTGTTGTCTCCTTCTCCAGCCGCAGACATGGGATCAGCTGAGAATCAGACTTCATCTTCATCCCATCCATCATTTTGGAGAGAACAGGCAGCACAGAGGAGATGGATGTTCCCCCGCAATCATCTGAGAACAGCAACAGTAAATACACATGTATTCAGGTCCAGGCACTCCAATGTCAGTAGGATTTTACATTTATGAAAATATTGTAATGATCAAAACTATTCAAATACTGCAATACTACACTGTCAGTAGTTACCATTATGGTGAATATCAGCAGACACATAATTATGTAATGGGCTTATTATATTTTGCACATTGTGCATAGAGTATAATGGCAGATTTGCATGGAATTCCAGACAGCCAATTAAGCAAATTAATAGTTGATGGTTCTGTCCACCCAATAGACTACAAAACACAATTAATTCATATTTTCAGTTCATTATTAAACAAAAATATAAAATATGTAGTTGTTTCAGTTGTTGCCTCTTATTTTAAATGAAATGTTTGAGTTGTGGACAGTACAACACAATACATTGTAATACAATATGCTGGGTTTCAAAACATGTATTGACCATTTACATTAAATTAAATTATTTATTTTTTTAAATCAGTTGAAGTTTAAAAAATGGGAAATCTCTAAAACAGCCATCTATCAAGCTGGTTAAAAACTGAGAAATCAAGCATTTTAATGTAACATTATATACACATATATATATATATATATATATATATATATATATATATATATATATATCTTCTTGCAATAACACACCAATGGATTAATCAACTAATCGTATTAGCTCTAAAGAAATACACATCCATTCATGAATTTTCCTTACCAAAAACTCTCTTTGACTGAACTTAGATTTTAAATATGTTTGATTGTCTTCAACTATTGATAGTTTACCTTTGACAGGAACTCCATAAGGTTTGTTGGTGATCACCACATCTTTGTCCTGGTACAGCACACCTCTGAACAGGTGTTTGGCCAGCACGTTGGGATGAACTTGTTGCAGTTGCAGACTGAACCGTTTCAGCTCCATCACCCTCTTCTGCTGCCCGGACGGCGGCGGAGGAGTCTCTGCCTCCGCTGCTCCCGACGCCTCCGCCTGGGGCTTCTTCCTCTGTCCCACCACCGGGGGCTTCGTCTTCTCCTGCTGGACCTCCTTCGCCAGGTCGATAGCTCTAAGCCGGGGTTTCTCTCCCGTGTCGGGGTCTGGGGCAGCGGAGGTGGCCTGGCTCCGGCTGCTGGACGGGGTTGTGATCCGGGAGAAGACGGTGTTCAGGCCGGACCTCCAGCCACTACAGGCTATTCTCCTACAGCTGTTCATTGTGGATGAGCTATACGGTCGCTTAGGTCAGTCGACTACACACTAGCAATGTACAAACATAAATTTCAGAGGACACATGTTTGCCGTTTCCGGTGACTTCCGGATGGCCCGGGAAGCACACTTCAGAATAAAAGCGTAGGATATGTATTTTAACTATAAACAAGCAATACAACACAACAGTCCAATGTTTGAATATTGGACTGTTGTGTTGTATGTATAACCGTGATCATGTTCAAGCATAGACACGTTAAAGCATAATTATTTTTTAAACCAGTATTTAAAAAAAAACGTTATAACGATGCAGCAAGACACCATTTCCTGTGGTGTATGCAGTGCTTCCGTTTTTTCCAACATGTATGCTCGTTTCTACTCCCGCCACTACCCGGTTTGTTGAAACATCTAAATGTAATGGCGATTGGATGGCACCGCCCCTCTGGTATATGAAGATTTCCAAACCAAACGCTTCCTTTTCAGCTCGTGTTGCTTTATCGTGTTGTTGCAGCCATAGACTGGTTGCAGCCCTTATCCGCTTGTTTTTATCTGAACATGTATTTATGTAATTTGAACGAAGGATCTTAGGCGCTTTTACTCATGTTTCGCTCGACTAGTGTTGAAAAGCAGGTTTCTTTAAAACTGAGCTGATACAAATGTCCACTTTTATGTTTTACACACTGTATTATTTTTGAATGAAAAGCTGCAGACATGAAGATCACAGACAGCGTGTTTCGGAGTTTCAGGGTTGCCAGAACATTTCGACAAAATTCCCAAAAAGTCAACTGTGTGGACTTCAGCCCAGATGGTGAACATGCAATATCAAGCAGCGACGACGACTGCATTGTGTTGTATGACATCCGAGAGGGAAAGTAAGTGGCCAATAATATTACTTTTAAAAACAGGTTATAACCGTTGTATGCATTTGCGCCCCAAATATATGCGAATGACCCATATTCTCATATACAGATTGTGAATATGAATGTCCATATAGTGTGTGTGTGTGTGTGTGTGTGTGTGTGTGTGTGTGTGTGTGTGTGTGTGTGTGTGTGTGTGTGTGTGTGTGTGTGTGTGTGTGTGTGTGTGTGTGTGTGTGTACGTACCATGGCAGTGCAGCTATTCACTGCGGTTCACCAGCTGATCAAGTTATTAACGTGTTTAAATATTCTTTCCTTTCTAAGACCTAAAGGGACCCTCTACAGCAAGAAGTATGGAGTAGATCTGATCCGCTACACACATGGAGATACACAGACAGTGGTCTACAGCTCCAACAAACTAGACGGTAATTACTGAGTACTGACAGTCAGCTGCTGACACAAAGCAACCAAACATTATGAACTAAAAATAAAGTGCACATATATGTTCTCTTGATGATTTGCCAATTAAATATTATTTTGTTCTAGATACCATCCGATACCTTTCACTTACTGACAACCAGTACATCAGGTATTTCCCTGGTCACACTGCAAGGTGAGTAAAAAAGAAGGATAACATGTGGGACTGTTTGCTGTAGATGGATGTGGACAAAGATACTGTATATGTTTCCATTAACAAACTCATTCTAAATACAAAGTGTGCACACCAGGGAAACATTGCCATTAAACTATCTACACAAGCTGCAACCATCAATTATGTTCAATATCCATAAAATATATGAAAATTGTAAACAATATCCATCACTATTCCCTGTAATCAAATGTCTTGTTTTGTCTCAAATCTCAACTTTAGGGTTATAGCTCTCTCCATGTCACCAGTGGACGATACATTTATCTCGGGATCTTTGGACAAAACGATCCGGATCTGGGATCTGCGTGCTCCAAACTGTCAAGTAGTACGTCAGGCTGGAAAATGACACTTCCTCTTCTCTCAGTAGGCAGTCACTGAAGTGTATAATAACAGCTACTGCTTAGTAAACTTGTACAGCTTTTAGACAGTGTTACAGCTGTTTAATAAGCATTAAGGTACTTAGATCACTGTAAGATAGTCACTGTACACCTTTTGAGAAACATTAGTCCTATGACCACTAGCAACCATGGAACACTTGGATCTTCCCACAATTCTGTAAGACATTAACTTTAAACAGAGACTAGCAGGTTTGAAAAAGAGATTGTTGATCTCAATGGGATTTTACCTGGTTAAATAAAGGCTACAAACAAACAAACTTAATGGAAGGAAACAGTTTACTGTATTTTCAAGTTATAATAAATCAGTTTTATGCTGTTTACAGATAGTGTAACGTAGGTAGTGTAAGAACGGTACGGAGACACAGCATAGCAGTGGTTTTCGGTGAATTTTCAAATTTGGCAGTGGTCTAGAATAAGCTGTTGGCTATCCGTGGCCTATATCTGTATTATAAAAACAGCATTTGTATAGGAATGATTCAATCCCAAGCTTTTTAAACCATATAACCAATTTCCAATGTGTGTTTCAGGGTTTGACTAATCCACTGGGGAAACCTGTTTGTTCCTTCGACCCTGATGGGCTGATATTTGCTGCAGGAGTGGAATCACAGGCCATCAAACTATACGACCTGCGTGCTTTTGACAAGGTAAAAAGCAAATCGATGTGTCTGTGGTTTGCTTGTGCATCCCTGCATGTACACAGGATATTCATATCCCTGATATATTTTTTCCCCTGTTATACTGTATTATAATACATCTAATCTCTGTTAAAAGGGTCCCTTTGCCTCTTTTGAGACAAAGTTCAATCGCGCCTGTGACTTGACTGGAGTCAAATTCAGTAACGATGGGAAACAAATTCTCATCTCAACAAACGGAGGGATAATTCGTGTCCTAAATGCTTTCAATGGATCTGTGCTGCATACTTTTTCTGTAAGAGACGTAAAGCTATCACATCACATTGCTGTTAACCAACTGAATTACACCTGTGTATAAATGAGTGTGTTTTCTATCTATTAATTTTACTGTTTATTTTAAGGGCTACAACAACAGTAAAGGCATCTCCCTGGAGGCCTGCTTCACTCCTGACTCTCAGTTTGTCATGATCGGTAAGACGAACTACATCATGTTAAATGTTTTAGTCTCTACCTGTAAGATCTCTGTTGTACCTGTGTGGTAATTGGGGATACACAATATGGATTTTCTTCTCAGCTGATACCAACAATCATTAATCACTTATGGCCAATTCTGATTGAATAGCAAATCATTTCCCATTTTAGTTTTTTTTTTAAAGAAGCTCATAACCTTTAGTTGATGCATACCCAAGTTCAAGAAAGGCTTGTAGTGAGTAAAGACGGGTGAATAATTATTCCATAACCCAACCATATTGACAACAGAATAATCAGTTTAGACTATTAAGATTTCATAAATGTTTCTATTAAACTACATAAAAAAACGTCACAATCATACATTAGCTTTTTCACAGCATTTTGCAATTCCAATTAAATGTATGATACATTTTTTTTTTAATTAGTCATGTCAATGTCTATACAATACATGTTTATGAATGGATGACACATTTAACTTTAAAGATGTGTACCTACTATATCCGAATGTGTAGAGGCTGTGCTTGTTGATTCAAGGAAAGCAATAGGGTTTCGTGCTAATGCCTGATACATTTTTGGAAATAATATTAGTATCTGAATAATATAATTGTTCCCATTTATAGGCCAGATGTATACCCTGCATCTCTATTTAAGTTATGTCTTGTTGTGCAGGCTCAGAGGATGGGAGAGTCCATGTCTGGAGCACTGAGAGTGGGATGAAGGTGGCTGTGCTGGACGGGAAACACTCAGGACCGATCAACACGCTACAGTTCAACCCCAGATACATGACGTTTGCCAGCGCCTGCACTAACATGGTGAGGTCTCACTTATTAAGCCTCATGTAACTGCTGTTGGACAAACTGCGAATAAAGGGCCTCTTCATAACTCTTTCTCTTCTTTTAACAGACTTTTTGGCTTCCGTGTATTGATGACTCATAGAGCAGGGGTGGGGAACCTTTTTCCTCTCAAGGGCCATTTCAATTTTTTCAACATCCTCCGAGGGCCGTACAAATTATTGACCTCTGCTTAAAAATCACAGCCCATTCATTTGGCCTTTCTTTCATGCTGTGCAAAGAAAAAGCAACCTCTTAGTCCAGATATCTTGCCATGACTCGCGCATGCATTCACGTGCACGGTTGTGGCATGACCACCAAACAGAAAGATATGGACACAAGATGTGTGCAAATGTATTTAGTTTCCTATCCATGTGGACATAATTTAAGTGGGGGGGACCTAATCTCCTCTAGGGCGGTCCAGGAAGATTTTTTTTTAAATATTGAAGTTAAAAGCATCAATCTGGTGCACTTTGAGAGCAAAATGAAGAGATCTATGGAAACATCTCTCAACACCCATATGAAACAGAACTGTAAGCAGATTTATTTTTTCTTTATGGATATTTTACAAACCACTCCCCTTTCAAACTGTATTCTTGTTTATTAATAACAACTTACTTTACTGTCATATAGTATTTTATACCTGTTTACTTTATTCTCTTGTTTTTTGATAACTATAATGATCATATAAAGATGTGCCTTTACCTCACTGGTTGGAGAAAAAGCTTCTTATATTCGTTAGCATAGCTAGCTAACCAGATGCTAATAACAACAAAGTTATTGACTGTATGATCAGAATGACAGATGAACAGATCGCCACTGGGCTTTCAACTAAAGACACAGCCACTACAATTTTTTTTGAATCGTTCTGGTGCTCTCCGTCAGAACTGCACCCCTGTCAGACGAGACCATAGACTGTGGACGAGACATATACCACGTGATGACACGTTAGGCTCGTGTTGTGTTCAAGGATCATGACCGTTGCCAGGAATAACAGGCACTCGCTTGTTTAATTATTTTGCGGTCTAGATTTCTTTAATTTTTTTATTTTTTGCGTGTGTATATAAATTACCTCGAGGGCCATACCAAATGTTCTCGCGGGCCGTATACGGCCCGGGGGCCGGAGGTTCCCCACCCCTGGGGACGTTCATCAGAGTGAGTCCTCGTGGAATCATGCAGAGATGAAGGATTACGTTTTGGACCGCCTTCTTTGTCCTCGTGGTTTTTAAAACATTTAAAACTTTTTACCTTCAGTATTTTAACCGTGTGGATCCTGCTGTGACTGAATAATACCCCACAAACTTCAGGTTTTTAATGTTGTTTGAGGTACATCTACAGGCATTCTAGGCCTGTTTTTATATGTCATGTTAATTTTAACTTTTGTTATTGTCTGAACATTTTATAATAAAATGTCTTAGATGAATATCCTTTTTTCTTTCTCCTTTATTCTGACTTGTATCATACATCAAATACATCTTTATGTATTATACAACATTTATTAATGTAATCTAATTGATTTAAAGGTGGGGTAGGTCATTTTGGAGAAACCAGCTTGAGTGCACTAGAATTTGAAAATACCCAGCCGGAAAAAACCTGCCACTTCCTTCCAGAGCCCCTCCTCCAACACACACGAAGGCAAGGCGCATATGACCAATGAGGGCACGAGATAAGTTTGTGCACAGATGGAAGGCTGACAGGCAGGTAGGCCATCCAGTTATTTTAGCCGGCTAAAATGATTGGTCGTGCTTTTTACAGTATTACGGCTTCCACAGATGACATTTTTTTAATGGATTTTTTGTCAAAGCACTTAAGATATTCATTGCTATCGGGATGTTAAGAGCATTCCATGGAATATAACAAAAAGTGTATCTCCAGCCGGTTTCTCAAACTTACCTACCCCACCTTTAAGAGGTTGTTTTGACAAAAAATATAACATTTCAGAAGATGGGTCAAACTATGAATCACAAAGTAATTTCTTCCCGTCCCTTACTTTGCCAATGTTATTTAGTTTACTTTCATTATAGACCAAAAACACCAAACCCTTACAAGTCAGAAGCTGAAAGTAGGTACATTTAGGTCATTTGTGCTTGAAAAAATTATTACTTAGAACAATTTACACAGTGCTATTTAAAAACAAGCTGGTATTAATAGGATTCTTAATGTATGGTAAAAACAACAACCTTAAACACAATGAATAAACACAATTACAGGATTAGTATATTGATTATTCTAAGAACAATTAACACTCTACTGACATGATCTCACTTTACAAAAGCAAACAGGAGTTTCTCTATCAGTAAACCAATCTGTGAACACACCTGCAGGCGTGTGAGAAACGCAGGCAGTTTTAATCAATTTAATGAATGGGTGTTTTTCTTTTTTTTTGTGCTCTGTAAGTGCCTTCCAGAAGTAGAGGAAGGGGGGGGGCGGGGCTCTGTTGAATAATGTATAGATGCTTGGGTTGTGTACTCACCACTGAGTGAATAATAGATTATCCCCTCACAGGTGACCTCACAGGTACACACTTATCTTTCTCTCACCTCCCTCATATGTGCATGTGTGCATGAAAGATGTGTAAAGGGATAAAGGTGAGACAGTTAGAGCATTTGGCGCTCACATTTTTACAACTGTAAAACTTTCTCACTCTCCCTTAACATACACACTGATCTACCTTGTGTGTGTTACCTCGATGCGTTTGTTTGTGTTTATGTAAGCGGCCTGTAATGAATCCATTAGTTCTGTCTGTAGCCAACTCTATAGTCTTCACACAAATCATCTGAAGCTCTTTATAGCTCACATTTTGGGATAAAAGGTGTATGAGAGAAATCTCACACTTATATTTAAGTACAGTGCTGTTGTCGCTCCAGGTACCCATCCATCTTCCTTTTATGAACTATTTAACAAAGGTATGCCATCAAAATTAACAAAAAATATCCACTATCATGAACAGAAACACACAAAACCAACCATTATTGCTCCATGAAATGTTTCAGACAGATTGTTGCTCAGTTTCACATTTTAATTTGAGATGATGCAGTCGGTCTGAGCTGATCAGAAACTCTATGTCAATTAGTGATAAAATGTCATTGCATGTGGCGCTTTGACAGCATCTGAAAACTCTGTACTGACCACTGATGTCATGAGTGGTGGATTTCTACATGGCCTCACACACAGTACAGTGCAGGACAGTGTGTGACTTGAGAGATGCTCCCCCATAGAGACTGTTAAAGTTGTGGTCATTGATACGCAAAGAGTTTTAGATCAGTGGTGAGGCTGGCATATCCACTGACAGCTTCGTTATTACTCATCAGCCACAGTTCCGCAGATTGTATTTCAAGTGTGAGGATTCTCCCGAGTCACCCTCTGGGCGTTTATGTCACTGATGCGCATGGGTCCATCTGTCTGCTGTCAGTGGAGAGGCAGCTACCTGCTGAGCGAGAGGAGCGTGGACACACACCTGGACCTGGTCCTTCCTGCGTGAGAGGAGTGTGAAGCTGACGGCCAAAAGATGTCACACCAAACCGGAATCAATGGTTAGTTATTTTCTGTACATTCACTCTGTACAATTTCTCAAGTTTTTGTGTTTAACTTTGGATGCTTCAAATTAAAGTGGAAGTTGTTTTACATTCGCTTTTTTACTTTTGATCTGTGCCACAGCATGTAATACATCCACACAGGGGATACAATTCTCTAATATCCTGTAAAAGTGCATTTACAGATGGTCCATAAACTTCACTGACATTATCCTGTGGATCTACATTATGATTGTGGGCTTTAAAGGATACACATTTAGAAAAGTACAGTATATGAGCGATGAACAGTTCCAATGTCTTTCTATTTTGTGTTATTTGTAATCATTTAGCACCAAAAGGCTTTAATGGTTAGTTTAAGAGCTACGTATATGTGTGTTATGGCATTTTGTAATTGGAGCATCGGGGGATGGATTGGCAGGAGCGTACCTCTCTCACCTTTCTCACCTGACCTTACATCATTTATGAGACCGCTGTCTTTGGTAACCATGGTGAGAAAAAAGCAGGGAGGGCAATAAATAACAAAATCTGGTTTCCTGTATTAAAACTGCCATTCCTTGTTTTGATAATTATGGGGGAAATGAGGCTGTTTATTATTCAGACTGAAATCTCTCATCAGCTCTTTGGTACCTGCAGTACGTCCCTGTGTGAGTCACTATAGGGGATGGCGTGACGATCTGGCAGTGGATCAAATGTTCTCCCTGAAGTAGAGTCTCAGGTTCTTACCTACCTAACTCTGTCTCATTTGCTTTCAACCCCCCCATCCTCAGTTTTGTCTTGTCTGCCTTATATCTGGTTACTTTAGCAACATCGGAGCTGAAAGAATTTCTGGCCCGAGCGAGGGGAGGTGCCATCCGAATAATGAAGATTGTCATCAGAAACGGTAAACATGAAATGTCTTAAGTGTTAAGAAAGTTTTACACTAGTAAGCTTCCAGGTGACTTATTGAAAATCGGAAGATGCTGATACGTTTGTCTTGTCTGCAGAGGAGTTGGTGTTAGATTCATACAGAGAGCCAGCGTACAGCTGGGACAAGGATTACGACCAGTTCCTGCTCCCTCTGCTCACGCCTCAGGAACCCTGCTACATCCTCTACCGTCTGGACTCCCAGAATGCACAAGGGCACGAGTGGATCTTCATCGCCTGGTCACCTGACCAATCACCAGTATGTCAGGAGAGGCTGCCTGCTGTCACTGATCAAATGTACTCATTCAAAGTCTATGTAAAAACTTAAACTGCATTACTTTTGACGAAATGAAACTCTTCCTGGAACTACCATAAAACCTAAACTTTGATAACCACAATTGAAAAGTATTTAAATAGAAAAGGCTTTATGATTTATTGTTTATGGTATTACAGAACAACTGCCTTGGACACATCAACATGTCTGATGTAGTCACATAATCCCAAAATGACACTTCCTTTTAAAATATACTATAACATTTCAGAAACTGATTAACAACTTAACAGAAAACAAAGCATGGACTCTAGAATAAAATGTTCCCCCTTCAACAGATTAATAAACTTCTTCCTTTTCTTAATAACAATTTTTCTAAATGTGTGGCATTAACGTGACACATAACCTCAATGTAAATAGAAAAGACAGTAAGAAACAGAAAAGGATAAAAGGTCACTCAACAACCATCAAAAAATCAGTCAAACTGCACAACCATCATTTTGCAAACATCCTGGGTGTTCAAGGAGCGTAAAAAACGTCTGTAAAAAAATGTGTCACTGTTTGAGTTTGGGTAAGGAAGGGTTCGTGTTCAACACAAAGCCTTTTGATGCATGTTTCCCCTCCCCTCTCTCCTTCTATCCTGTCTACCTTCAGCTGTCGTGAATAATAAAGGGGGAAAAGTATCAAAGATCATCTTTAAATGAAAAACTATTAACACAACACTCAACAAAACACATGAAAAATGACTAGAAAAGTAATCAATAGTCAAAATAGTAATGGAAGTTTCTTGTATCCTCCTGTCTGTCTTGGCACCCGTTAGGTGAGGCAGAAGATGGTGTATGCAGCGACCCGCGCCACCCTGAAGAAAGAGTTTGGAGGAGGTCACATTAAAGATGAAATGTTTGGCACCGTGGAGGTGAGGAAGATCCCACCAACATGACAACTGATCATTAAATCTTTAACTGTTGGTGGTTCAGTACCATTCTGTTTGTGTTTGCAGGACGATCTGTGTTTCCAGGGATACCTGTGCCACATGTCCTCCTGCTGCTCCCCCGCCCCGCTCACAGCAGCCGAGCAGGAGTTACAACGAATCAGAGTCACAGAGGTCAAGATCAACAATACAAACTGTCTGAATATGATATCAAACACAAACGTACATTAAGTGTACTTATTTTGTATGCTTTTTTCTGCAGGATAAAGTTGTGTGGGTAAGTACACTTTCTTCCTAGTACAATCCTAACCGTTTCTGTATCAAGAGGAGATTACAAAACTGCCTCTTATATCCACAGGGTGAGCGTAGACGAATTGGGACTCCAACAGCGCGAGCGAGGGTTTGTTGCAATCTTTTTGAGTCCAAATTCAAAGTTGAAATTCAAATATAACAACAACAAATCATTTCACCAGTTGGATGCCAAATTGCCACAAATTTCAGATATCGGTGCTCTACTTTCCACTGTAAGCCTTTTCGATGTTTTACTACTCCATTCAATTGAGAAGAAAACAGTATTGAATGTATTTTCCCCTTTAGGACACTCATAAGTAACACAGCATATAAACATAAATAAAAAAATGAAAGAATGAATAGATAAAAGGTCAAACTTAATTTAGAATAAAGAGAAGGTAAAAAAGAAAAATCAAGCGGGAGACAATAAATATAAATAAATAAACAGAGAGAAGGCGTCATGTTGTTATTTTTCACACTAAATAGTTGTAAGAAGAAATCTACTAATATCACTAGGATTTCATTTACATGTAATTTTTACACCAAGGTTTCTGTGTTTATTTGATCCTGCAGGTCACAATGGAGTTTGGCTTAGACAAAAGAGCGCAGACTCTTCAAGGTCTTGCCTTCCCCTTACAAGAAGAGGCCAAGCGAGCTCTGCAGCAACTCAAGCAGAGACGCATCAACTACATACAGCTGGTGAGCCCCAACAAAACCCCTTTTTACTAATTACTCAGCGTGCATCATGTAACTTATTTATTGGTGAAATTGGGGTGACTTGACCCCTGAACAAAGCTTGTTTGTGTGTGTTGCAGAGGCTGGATGTAGAGAAAGAGACCATTGAGTTGGTTCACACCAAACCTACAGAGACCCACGAGCTTCCCTACAGGATTCCCTCAGATTCTCCCAGATACCACTTCTTCATCTTCAAACATTCCCACCAGGGCCAGCGGCAGGAGGCGCTGGGTGAGTCTCTCTGTCAATTGCATTTTTATCTTCAGTGTGCTCGTCATAGAATCTCACAGAACGTCACATATTCAAGTTACACCATCTGGTTGCCGACCCCAAACTTAATATGCACTAATCTGCAATTTGACCTATAACAATGAGTCGTGTGCAACATGAAATGACCCCACCGGAAATAATGATTGATTCTGCAGATGCCCTCAATGTCTTTAATCTGATTGTTTAACATAATGTAACATTTAGCAGATAAAGAGACATATTTTAACAACACAAAGAGGAGAGTGAATATTGGACTTTCATTTGTCAGGCTTGACACAACAATCACTCCAAATCAATGATAATGTTGGCCCATTATGCAGTGTGGTAATAGATCATGTTATACTAACATTTGAACCATATGGACTTTATAAGAGGACAGTACTGTTTTTTTAACTGCTTTCAGGCATTATATTCTATTACTCTATTTTCCATGTTTTTTCTCTATGTCTGTTTTTGGTATGCAATATTTATCCACTGGTTGAATAAAAAAAGGTTTACATTTTTTTCTCCCAGTGACCACAATGGTTATCAAAATGTTGCTCAAATATTGGTTAAGTCGCTCATGTTGAGTAGTTTTTACACAAGTGCATAAACTACTGTTTGATTAAGGTCAAGTGATAGCACCTCTTGTAAGTACTGATGTACTTTGTTCAACCCCCCTGTGTAGTGTGTTGTTTAGAGAAGAATGATTATGGGTGCTTTTGTAGCGTCTGAGACAGGGGTTTTGTTTCATAACAGATATGATAACCAAATATAATACAGTGAAGTTGGAAACAACAACTTTATATCTCTTCCAGTGTTCATATATTCGATGCCTGGTTACACCTGTAGCATCAAGGAGCGGATGTTGTATTCAAGCTGTAAGAACCGACTACTGGACGAGGTGGAGAAAGACTATCAGCTGGAGGTCACCAAAAAGGTTCACATCACCAAAATCACCCACGATTAAAATAACAAACTGATGCATGATCTGTAATATATCTCTGTGAAGATAAACAGTAAACCACGTCACCAAATTTGATCTACAAACTGGTTATCATAGTCAAAATGAATCTGTATTTTATTCTGTGTGTGTAGATGGAGATAGACAATGGCGATGGCCTGACAGAAGACTACCTGTACGAGGAGGTGCACCCGATGGAGCACGCCTTGAAGCAGGCCTTTGCCAAGCCCCGCGGACCGGGGGGGAAGAGGGGCAACAAACGCCTCATCAAGGGCGCTGGGGAAAACGGGGAAGAAAGTTAGATATACACAATATATTATACATGAGTACACAAACATACCACACTATATCTATGAATGTACTTGTTATTTGACTGTTTAGCTTCTAATAATTTCTCCTTTTTACCTTCAGACATTTCAAACGGAGAAAGTAGATCCACCATGCAAAAAAGGAGAGTGTGGAAAATATATAGCCTATATCTTTTCTTGTGGTAAGGGAGAGCTTCTAAAGTTAACACTGTTAGTGTAAGTGTAGCAAGCTGACACATATTTTGGCCTATTAAGATTAAATTAAATTGAATTTGACATACAACGTGTTAAAGTAGTGAATCAAGCGGCGGTTTTGAGGTTTATATGTAAATGCATCCACAGAGTTGATAATTTAACCGTTCTTATCCACTTATCCGGGTGTCAGTCATAACAACTTATTGTGCAGCAAAACCTTTTTCAAACCCACAGTACTTTATTATCACTTGTAGAGATCCAAAACGTTGCAGAAATACTAAATACTTATAGACCTTATAGGGAAATGTGTACAATAATATGCTCAGCAGATATATTATTTCCATTTCATGTAATGTGGAAAGCGATTTAAAACATGGAGTATCAGATTCTAAAAGCTCACTGTGAATATACATCTTTGAACAAGACAATACACTGTGGAAATTATTGCAAATAATATGACATATGGGGGAAATACAATCACTCGATTTATTGGTGGAAAGGAAGATTGATAAGACGTTGCTGATTTTACTTTATTAACTACAGCCAGCCGCAGTTAGCTAAATTAAGCATTAAAGACTGTAAATGGGGAGTTCTAGCCCCCCCCCAAAGCTCACTCATTTAAAGATGATATCTTGTTAGTTTAATCTGTCTTAAAACCTCTTAAAACAACTGGATGTTAATAGGATACTATTTTATTAATACATTTTTCATTTGCCAACCCAAGTTGAATGCAAATGCTCAATCAGATCTGTCTTCTCCTGTTTCTGTGCTCCTCTTCAGGAAATAATTAACATCACCAGTCACTAATATTGATTCAGGTAATCAAAATCATCGTGAAATGGCTTTTAAATGTTTGTTTTATGGTGGATTATCCTTTATATTTTCTCTAGTCAGCCTATGCTTTACCCATTGTTCATTGCAAATCTCTCCACATCACATTCACAGTTGCCTTCTTCAGTCGCTTGGGTGAGGTTTGACTACACTCAGCTGAAGGCTGTTGTTTTACATGGCCCTACAATAAAATATTTTCTGTATTTTTTAGTGTTTGTGTCCTAATTTCTCTGTTTCTCTGAGTGTTTGTGTGTGTCCTGTAGACGTGCAAGGTCAATGGGTTGTGTGTGTTTTCCAGGAAGTCGCTGTACTCAGAAGCCTTCAGCTGTGCACTTCTGCTGCTTTCATTCCTCTGGGGAAAGACGCTATATGTGAAACATTTTCCTGGAAACCAGGTTCAGAGCTGAATGGTAGCTTTCAAGTGCTCGTTATCTTTGAACACGGGAACTGTGGGCTGGGTGATGATGAACCTGTTTATAACATGACTTCTGACATGACACAGTTCCAATCATTTCCAGGAAAAAATAATCCTCCAGTATATAACCATTAGCAGGTAATTGTCTTTACACTAATAGCCCACAACAAGAAAAAAAATGGGCTGAAAGGTTAACGCTCGAAACATTATTAGAAGAGAGAAATAATAAGTAGTGTTTGGGTGCTTATCAATGTTTGGTTTACTCGACAATAATAAACACAATACACTTGGCTAATGATAAAAACAGCTAAATATTAACTCATTATTACTAATTATCAAACATGTACACAGATATGTAAATGTGAAAAGCAGCATTTCCACTGGATGAAATGTGGCGTTAAAAACCTTAACGCCTGCAACTGCATCAAAACAGACAGAGGTAACTATAACATTACCGGAAGTAAGGCTATTGGCCTTCAGAATAAAATATTAACTAACAGGTGATAGGGAAAACAACAACAATATGTAAAACTCAGTCACATTTAATTCTGCACAAAATAAAGTCTATTAATGAACTGTGATAATACATTCAGATTTGTATGGAGACCTAATGTGTTCAATATTACAAAATAAATAATACATAATGAAACAGATTATCATAATAATAAATATTGTATGGCACAACAAGCTCAAACGTATGCAGTCTGACACAAATGTCCCCAGCATTAGTTACATCTTTATCTAATAAATTGAGTCTTATCGTGTATAACCGTGACATTGTATAATGAGACAATGCCTTAAAAGTCATTGCAAGTCATTTCTTTTTTTAAATAGGTGAGTATATTTCAAAATTCTTCATGATAAATCGCATTACAAAATAAACATCGTAATGACACACTCAAATTTCCAAGGTACTCTCTCATTTCTCAAAGAGGCTTTAGGATGGGTTTGTCTATAACACCAGACCTCCAAAGAGCTTTTCTTAACAAAGTCACCAGTTTCTTATTTTTGAAAGCCGTACCGGAAGTGCAGTGTGTTGACAGTGTGTGTATTGACAGAGATCAGAAGAGCTGCTGGCTGCAGCTTGTCTGTCACTGCGGGCGCTGAAACACAAAACCTTTCTTGGAATCAGATTCCTGGAACCAGTCAGTCCCAAAGTGAAGCGAGCTGTTTTCTGTCCTCACAGCACACACACTCTCAGCACACCACAGCTCACACACAGATATATCCTCTCGGTTTTTACGACTGTTGCAGGTTTTTAACACGGAATATATTATCTTTTCGACCCCAGCAGAGATTATTCGGCATTTGTTCATTCTTTCTTATCCACAAGGCAGTTTTATTGAAATCGTCGTGATCTCTATGATAATCTTTGATTTAAGGTAAGAGTGATACAAAAAGGATTTCATGATTTCCAAAGTCTGTTTGATCTAGAATTGCATTATTTATATACAATGATATTGCCTGATGTCTGAATGATTGTGACACTTTATTAACCCTTTAATTTGTTTTTGGCTTTTTGTGTCGTGTGTTTTTTGTTTATTTCACTAGTCTACTTAATGTAGTCTAGCCTACATTATCTCAGATCAATACATTACTATTATATTTAATATTTTAATTTTCTGCTACTTTTACTCCACTACAATTGGGAGGGAACCACTTCATTTATCTGAAAGCTTCAGTCATTAATTACTTTTCAGATTCTAATGAATAATATAATTAAAATAAATTATACAAATAAATACATAAAGTGTTGTATTGATTTGCATAAAGATAAGGTTTTTTAATATAAATGTATCACTTGGTTAAATGTACAAGCAACCCAGCTAAATATTTAGTGAAAAGAATCAAGCCAAATTGACCAGCTGACTCATATAATACTTATATAATGCTTACTTATGCGTACATTAATATGCATTATAATTCAACTTCAACTTCTATACATTTTAATACAGAGTCATTTCAAACTGTGATATTTGACTTACTAAAACTACCTAACAAGAATCTTTCACCAATTGGGGTTGGTTGTTTTTGTGCTCGTCAGCTCAATTTGGACAAGAGCAACCAAACCTATATTTTACATCTGTGAATTAAAAATGATATAAACATATAATTTACTTGATTTACTTGGGACAGTGACCTATTAAAGTAGTTCAGAGCTTTAACAGAAATCTCTGTTAAATACCTAACAGGTAATGTTCTGTGTATTAACAGGGCTGCTATTAATCAGAAATGGTTGCCCGTGCAGTGACAATTTTTCATCATGAGGAGCGACAAGCTTCCTGCCGCCTGCAGCCCTTTCCTCCGCCCTGTGACCCAGCAGATGATCTCTGCTGCATCACCACCACCTTCCAGTACCTACAGACCTCAGGTACACCGGCAGCCTCTCCGACTCTGAATTCAGATTGTACTTCATTGAAAAAATGTGACTGTTTTAAAAAATATGTCTATCCCATGTACGTTTTATTTATTTGGTATGGATTACATTAGGTGAGGGGAGATATTTCCATGGCTTTGCGGTATAATATAATAATCTAGGAATCAAACCCCACCTCTAGTAATGCATTTGTATGGATATATTCACCAAAACTACTTTCATGTTAAAGAAAAAAATAAAAGCTGATATTAAAACTATTTGTTTGAATTCAGGCTGGTACTGGGGCTCTATCTCTGCGAATGAAGCTCGGGAAGTTCTCCAAAAAAGGTCTGAAGGCACATTCCTAATGCGGGACAGCAGTCACCCTCAGTTCATGCTGGCCCTGTCAGTGAAGACCCGCTGTGGACCCACCAGCATTCGCATCAAATACTGCAGGGGCTCTTTCTGGCTGGACTCCATTTCCCCCGGCCTGCCTCACCTGCAGTCCTTCCCAGATGTGCTCAGCCTCATACAGAACTACACAGCCTCCGGACACACAAAACAGCGCCAGAGGTCAAATGACATCCATCCACAAACAAAGCCTGACCCCACCAAGCACACGGACAGTGACAGTGGAGTGCCTGACAGTGGAGTGCCTCTGGAGCTGGTGCGCCCCCTGCACAAACCAGAGGCCTTCTCTTCTTTACAGCACCTGACGCGCCTCGCAATCAACAGACACACAAAGTGCCCTGACCATCTGCCACTCCCGAAGCCTCTGCTGCACTACCTGCAGGACTATCCTTTCCACATATGAGGGTCTCTGTCTCTCTGGTGCAGGACACAGAGACTGGGACGTGGGTCAGGGTCACCCTCCTTGTTGACCACACACTGTGAATCTTGGAACAGTTTGACACCCAAAGGGACAGCGATTGACCCAGATGGAGGTAATTGAAATGAATGACGAGTTAAGTCTTTGTACTACTGTTGTTCTCTAGGATAAGATTTTTTTTTTTACTATTTTCATAAGTCTGTGTCAGCAACTGTGAACTGATTTTATTTAAATGCCAATGTGTGAGCTTTTTCTATTTATTTGTGCCATTTCCTATCAGTAAGAAGAGATTCACATAATGTTTTTGCATGTTTTGGACGAGTGGCTCCAATTTTTTACATGATTTTAGCAATAATAATTAAAGAAAAACTAAAATCTGTCAAGATATGACTTCTGGTAATTTTGTTGTTCCAGTAGGATTTACATTACAAATGTTTTGGATTTATTTTTGTTTTTCCTCTTAGGAGCTCATTTTACGGCACTTGATGTTTGCAAAGTGTGTTTAATGGAGCAATGTTTATTCACTCTTCATGAACGTAATGAACCGGATGAACCATAAGCCACCAGTCGTCTCATGTAAAAAAAATTCTGCACTATTATTATCACAAAATATCTTAAATATGGCTTTTTTCCAGTGCTACATGTAGTTTCATTGGACATGGTCAAATCTTATCACAGTATAATCAAGAATTTAAATAGTCCAGGGTAGAGGGTACACTTCTAAGATAGTGTTACCAATAGTGTGAGGTCAGCCTGACACTAACATGACATGCAGACTGGAGGGCCTTTTAAAATAATTATATAATATATAATAAGAGACAGGGTAAATGTGATGGTATTTTGTTATGTACAAAATCATCATAAATCATAACTCTTCTTACAAATCATTACCAGACTGAACAGCAACGGGTGTTCGTTGAAGAAAATGGTACTGTAGGAAATATGTTTACACACTGGTTTCATTCTCAGAAAAGGATCATGCCTGTGGATTTCAGAGAAATAAAACATGTTTTTTTCACGGTTGAAAGGCTGGCCACTTGAACATACAGATGAATGTGCGGTATTACTGTTTTCATGGAATCATGCTTAAGTTGGTTTCCACGAGGAACTGAGCAATGCTGAGAAAAGCCTCTTATCAGGATTAGAGTAAGTAAGAGCTGTAGTTATTAATACACCGCTGCACCAACTGAGAGCAGATCATCTCTCTCTGCTTGTGCCAACCCATCACTGTCAAACATTTAAATTATTTTTCTGTCTTTACTTAAATGATCAGCATCTTTTAATCACTTTGCTAATAACATTCTCTACCAGGAAAGCATGGACGTTTCTGACATGCAGTCTTAATAGTTTTGCTGTTAAATGCACAACTGACAAAGATGAGTATGTGTAGCTGACGTGAACTGTAGGGATTAAACCCACAGAGGAAGTACTCAGATCCTTTACTTGATATAATGTAGAAATACCACAATATAAACAAAGTGTACTCAACACAACACATTCAAAAAATAAATAAATCAAAAGCACCTTTCGGTGTCTTATTTTATATATGTTATTATAGATTGTAAATGTGTCAACCGGATTTGGATGTGCCTATGTTGCAATTTTTACTAGTGTGCACCTAAAACAATCAGATCTGTTTCAGAAAATCTGAATTTGCTATATATATTTTGTATGAGCTGCAGACATGTAACCTGTAAATAATTTGCATCACTACAGATCAATATCAACCAAGGTGGGTGAAAACATGCCCTACTAAAGCACAATATTCACTAACATGATAACAGCTTGATTCCTGTTTTTAAATTATCTTGTGATCCTGTGTCAATTGTTTTTTCTGAATGATCAAAAAATGTTTTTACATAAATTACTTCTACATGTCAGAGTAAAAGAGGCACAGGTGTAAATAATACAGTGAAAGGTGGCTACCTCAGTTTCTGGGTCCTGGCTGCTGACTGTCATTATGTCAGGACTTACTGAGACATTTAAAATGTACAATTGTAAAGTTAATTGTAACACATTAAAGTCCAAATGTCTGCCGTCAAAAAGTGCATATTAAAAATGTAGTTTGTATTTTATAGAGACATTTCGTCTATCGTGTTACCAACAAATAAAACAAAACAACAGGCCTGGGGACATTTACATTATTATTGCTATTATTAAATGTTCACAGTTCACAGATAAGCAGTGGGTTGCTAATAGGGGCCAACAGTAGCTATGTTTGCCCTGGAGACCCAAACAAGTTAATTTTCTGCATAATAGATTATGATAGAGGACAACAAATGCCAACACTGCCAACCAAATTTGGTGGAGTAGAAGTATGAAGTAGCATGAAAAGAAAATACTCAAGTAAAACACTAGTACCTGAGTAAATTTAAAGTTACATTGGACCACTGGAAGAAAATGTGCGGTATAAAGGACCCCAGCCCATAATATAGTAGGCCTATGTCAGTTATTTAGATATTTCGTCCTAGAGACAAGCAATTATGTTGCTGTTCTGTATTATATATTATTCAAATGTATACAAATGTATAGAAATAAGAATGATAGGACATTCATGTTAACCATACATTTTAAGATATACACACAATTATTGTAAATAAATTATTTCTGAAATATCCTCGCTATGGGTATAAAAATAAACAAAAAAACATATTATGTGAAAAAGTCACACCTTACAAAAGTAGTACTTTTAACCATAATGTCTGAATGACCTATATTAATGTGAGATGCTTCTAACAGTTATTTGAATAAGAGCTATGGGTAGTATAATAATAACAAAACAAATTGCAAATAATAACCATCGTAGCTTTAACCATGTATTCCATTGATATGGTGTAATATTTAATGTTTGTACAACAGTGAATTGTTATCCTCCCCCACCCCCTCACTTCCCTCCTGTTAATCCTCCAGCAGCAGCGCAGTCAGCAGCAGCAGCGACGGAGGCCAACAAAGCACTACTTGGAGATAATTTGGATATATTTTAAAGCAATCATTAGGTAAGCACATAATTAAAAGCAATGTTAAGTTACAGTACATTGTCAGTGTGCTTTGTTGGCAACAATATTGTTATATGTATTTTGTTAACCTATATTTCCATCCTATATTCTGCTGACGCTAGCCAGCTAGCTAACGGATCGATGGAGTCGCTGTGACTTCCGTTTTGCTAGCTAAAACCCAAGCTAGCCAGTCGTACCGGTTAGTGACTTTAAAGGAAAAAACGAGGTTTTTGTGGGAAGTTAGTTGAAAACCACGAACACGGCCGTGGGATTATATATATTATAACATAAATAACGCACATGTATCCAACACAACCTTTGAATAACACCATAAATATGTAAACGCAGCGCACTGCCCGGCTAACGCTAGCTGGTTAGCTCGGGTAGCTAAGTCTTTTGTAAACAGAACCCCCTAGCTAACTGAAAACTAGGTCAACATACACGGCAGTGAATCACAATTATATGTTGATACCAGTGAGTAACGTGTTCATTTTTCGGTAAATCTAGTCACTGTTCTCCATGTTATATGGGACATGTGAACGTTAGTGAGTAATTTGTCAATGTTGATCCCGGGGTGGGTCAGAAACATTCAAGCGGAAGTGTATCATCATGTTTGTTGCTAGTCTGACTTAAATTGTTATCCTAATTCAACATAAGGTGCACGGTCTCACATCTTGACATGCTGTCCTCGTGTTTGTATAAAACGGCAGTATAGCTGGCTGACAGACCGTGATAAAAGGCCGTGATGTTGAAAGCTAAATAGTTAGCCCCGGGTGTTGGTTTCAGACGAGTTGTGTCAACACAGCTGAAGACGGGTGACTGCTCATCGTTTCTCACATGTAGAGGTGGACGTCGCATAATGCCTGAATGCAATATGAATTACCTCCCTGTGATAAAGTGTTTTCATGTTGTAACCTTTGATGTTTTCTGTCCCCTGTCTGCAGCTATGGCAGCAATCAGGAAAAAGCTGGTCATAGTGGGAGATGGAGCCTGTGGGAAGACCTGTCTGCTCATTGTGTTCAGCAAGGACCAGTTTCCAGAGGTCTATGTGCCCACAGTGTTTGAGAACTACGTTGCTGACATTGAAGTTGATAGCAAGCAGGTAATGTAGTTCTCTTTTCACATTTCAGTCTACAATCAGCAGGATGGCCCTTACAGCTGAATTGAAGTCCCTTTTTACTCCCTCAAATCTGTACAACTTGAACAGGTTGTATGTTATGAGATGTGTTGATTAATACCAATAAAGTTGACTTATTTTGCAGTTTTGGATTTATAAATTAGTATTTACCTCAGTTCTTAATCATGTTAGGTTCATATTTTGGATAAACTGTTAAATATTATGGTTTCTGGGTGTGCGTTTCAAAGACAACAACATGCGTTTAAATTAAGTCTTTGTTAAATGAAACATGTGGACCTGAAGCACCCTGAACATGCTTTGCCTTCCTCTTATTGATTTCTTGTGACCTCTTATTGCAGGTGGAGTTAGCTCTTTGGGATACAGCAGGTCAGGAAGACTACGACAGACTGCGCCCCCTCTCCTATCCCGACACTGATGTCATTCTCATGTGCTTCTCCATCGACAGTCCCGACAGTCTTGGTAAGTTGAAACAGAGCGCTATTAGTTGTGGTACATTTTTCTCTTTTTAATTAATCTAACTGCCTAAACAGTTGTGAGACGGTGAACACATTAAAGATTTAGTTTCAATTTACTGTATACGTTTTTTTGTCCCAGGAGGGAAGTAGACACCAGTTTGAGAAAATAGCTCTCAGAAAGTTTACCTTGCACTTTTGCTGGACACAGGAAGGCATGTTATTATACTCCTCTGTTGATTGTAACACACCATGTATCATTTTTTTCTCAACCCTGTACATCACAGTCACACATACAAACACACTGATCACATTTTCAATTTGCAACACGCACACTTCAGCCCCATGTACCTCTGTTCTGACCAAGAAGCAACCTCCAGGTCTGATATGAGCCAATGGAGAAGTGCCGTAAACTGCATTTTTTCTAATGGCCAGCAGGGGGCGACTCTGGTTTCAACAATTTTATATATATATATATAGTATATCATGTGTTCCTGATAAATGGTCAGATGGACAAACATTGTGTAATTAATAAATCAGCAGTAAGGGGACAGTGTACAGGAGGTTTTCACATGAAATAGAAGACTAATGGGAAATGACTCTATCTCACTGTTTATTATTGTCATACCGTTTCCTGATTAGTTTATGGACTTGATTGCTAGTTAAAATTGTCATGTTTTTTGTTCATGTTCATTAAGAGAAAAACAGAAGATAAAGCAGCATATGCTTTAGGGCGGGGCTTCCTTGTGATTGGCAGGTTGCTACAACAGTGTGGTACAGTTTGAGTGTTACAACTTTGAATCTAACAGTGTTTTCCATTCCTATAAGTTAATTGTAATGCTTTGCTGCCTAAAGTGTCTTGTTCAGCACTCCCTCATTTGTCACTTTTGGTTCCAAAAAAACAAGATGGCGCCAGTCAAAATGCTAAACTCAAGGATTTGAGACGACCCTTAACAAAAAAGGGATGTCACAGTGACTACTAGGGATGGGAACGATTAATCAAATATAAAAAAAATAATAATTCAATGTATACGACAGTGCCATAGCTAAATGTGACGTCTAAATGTGTGTTTTGCTCCGCTCACGGTACCTCACAGCGGCAGAGCTGCAGGTGCTGATCTCTCTCTCTCGCGTCCGGTTATACTTCACTCGCGTTTATGTCCAAAGCCATCAGATCTAGCTAGTTCTAGCTAATGATATGGCTGCTGCCCCTCCCTACACGCAGATCACGCAGACTCAAACCTCATCTTATGCCCAAATGCGCTCCGCAGCCGTTGCGAGGTTCCGGCGCTAATAGTTCATGAGCGTGCTCCCCCGCCCCCTGTCAACACTGACACATGAGTGGCCAGCCTAAACAACAATAAGCGCTGCTTGGCAACCGTGTGTGGCGGCAAAGTACATAGACATTTTGACAGGAGATATTTAGTTTTGCCGCTATTCGACATATTTTACCAGTCATAGTCCGGTAATTATTTACACTCTAAGAAGAGTCCTACACAACAGACATGGCGTCAAAAAGGAGTAATGTGTGGAAATATTTCGACCAGGTTAGTGAGTGCGGTGTAGAGGTCAAACTATGCCAAATTAAACTTATATACTTATATTACTGCTATACCCGCAACCTCCGTTCCAGCTGTAGGCCTATAGCTGTCAAACTGTGATCACCAGTTCAATACATTTGACAAATTAGACCTGGTTTCTATACTTATTTGAACATGTATTTATTTATTTCCAAAAGTTATTGAAACAAATTTTTGGGAAAATAATTTTTTTTTTTTTACCCAATTGTTTTTTTTATAGGATATGTACATTTCGGTTAACCGTTTTTTGGGGGGTCGAATATACATTTGTTTTCAAATTCCCATCCCTAGTGACTACGTCCACTTCTTATATAGAGTCTATGGTTCTGACAGATGGTGTCTTTTGTCCCCTCCTTCAGAGAACATCCCTGAGAAGTGGACTCCTGAGGTGAAACACTTCTGCCCTAATGTGCCCATTATTCTGGTGGGAAATAAAAAGGACCTGCGTAACGATGAGCACACCCGGAGAGAGCTTGCCAAAATGAAGCAGGTAAATAATGTCAAACTGACACATGAACCAGTCTTCTAGTGTTGAAAGCCTGTTTCCTAAAACGTGTCCTGACCTTCTCTTCAGGAACCTGTGAAACCGGAGGATGGACGGGACATGGCTAACAGGATCAGTGCCTTTGGATACATGGAGTGCTCTGCAAAAACAAAGGATGGTGTGAGGGAAGTGTTCGAAATGGCCACCAGGGCTGCACTACAGGCCAGGCGGGGAAAGAAGAGCAATAAATGTGTCCTACTGTAAACAGGGGGGGGGCACGAGGACTGCCTCCCCCAGGGGGAAAGAAGGAGCATTAGGTCAAACCTACCCCCAAACACACCCACACAAAAGACTGTTCTCCCCAGTTTTTCCTAAAGGTGTAATGCTTTTACTTTCTTTGTCTTAAGCAAAAGTAGTCAGGTTCTGTCAGTATTCATTTTTGAGGTTATGGAAACTACTTTTTTGTACTTTAACATGAGTAAATTTGCCATAATGAAACCTCCTTTATCAACATGTACTATGTAATCAAAGAGGTCAGCCAGGGGCCCTGCTGTGTCATACCTGCCAACTACAGAAGTGCTTAAGCCCTGTCTGCTGATCTGAGGAATGTTTCCACAGCCAATAGGGTGAAGTACCTGTACACTGTGACCCTTAATCCTTTTAATTATTTCAACAAACAGATGCGCACATTGAAGTCAAAATGTGTTTGTGTGCTTCATATACAAATCCTAATGTGCATTATGATCACTTGCACAATATGAGACTGGAAACTCATGTTGTTAAACGCAAATGGAAACGTAGTGTTTTGTGTAATAAATTACTTTGTAAGAATCTTGATCATTTGCATCACGTGCTTGATGACGCTGCAGTAAACCCAGTGAGGGCGTGTTTCAGAGTTGGAGCCTGTTAGTGAAGATACAAGCCAATGTTATTGGTTACCTCATTAAAACAGCAGACAGATGCAGGGTGTTTGAGGGGAATGTCGCTATTTTAATTCAAAAATCTTTATTCTACTTTAACGAAACCATCCCTTAAAGGTGCGGTATGTAAGTTTGAGAAACCGTCTCGAGATACACTTTTTGTTATATTCCATGGAATGCTCTTAACATCTCGATAGCAATGAATATCTTAAGTGCTTTGACAAAAAATCCATAAAAATGTCATCAGTGGAAGCCGTAGCTCTGTAAAAAGCACGACCAATCATTTTAGCCGGCCCGGCTAAAATAACTGGATGGCCTACCTGCCTGTCAGCTTTCCGTCTGTGCACAAACTTATCTCGTGCCCCACATTGGTCATGTGCGCCTTCGTGTGTGTTGGAGGAGGGGCTCTGTAAGGAAGTGGCAGATTTTTTCCGGCTGTATTTTCAAATTCTAGCGCACTCAAACTGGTTTCTCCAAAATTACCAACCCCACCTTTAAGTGTTTTAATAAAAAAATTAAGGTATAATGTGAGAAACACTTTTTTACTTCATTGCCTCTCTTTTTGGCCTCCTACCTTCCAGGCCATCTTGACTCGCACTACAATAGGAAACAAGTGCTTTATTTGACATGCATGAAAACCAACATTACAACACATTTGCAGATTCTGTTCTTTGGCATTTTACCAAGATTGGCCTTTCTGTGTAAACCAAACACTGACATTCATCATTTTACAAATGCAAACTGAATATTATTCAAAAATGTTTACACGTCAATTGAATCAGTTTTAGTTTGTAAAGAAATCACTGCTATCAGCACTGTTGTATTTTGAAAATAGTTTAAGGTGATGGAAATCTTGGATAACCTGTGATTTATATTAGTGACAAATATTCAGTCCACTTGCCAGTTTATTAGGCACACTAAGCTTACACTAATAAACCGACATGATGGTAATTGTGTTCAGCTTTATGGAAAAATATATATATTGTCCAGTCCTACCCATAGAGGTCCTACCCCATTTACATCAGTGAGTATACACTAAACATAATAAAGTTACATTTGATTAACACCTGCGTAAACAAAACTAAAAATGATGATTTAAACCTCCATGAAATTAGAATGTACTGCATGATTGAGTATGATTTGGGTAGAGAGCAATAAGTCAAGACAAATGATTGACAGTCAAAATAAGACTGATATGATGCTCATTGTAAGCAACACAATATCAAGAGGATGTGAATATTTTCTTTGGTGAATTACATTTTTTAAAGGCAACATATAAGATGTGCGGTCTGAAGGCAAGAGCAGTGGTTAATGTGTGATTTCTTTGTATCCATAAACATAGCTCCAAGGTGAAAAAGGGATACCCAATGTCACCAGAGCTCCTTGGACACTTGATGATAAAAACATGTATCACCATAGAATGTCTGTTGTTGTTGCTGCTGGGCAAAACAAAAATGGCTGCACACTCATTCCTCAGATAAATAAATATACAGCCAGGCATCGGACACGGCTGTGAAAATCCTCAGTTTGATAGTCATTCGTTCTTCTTGGCTGTTACAAGTCCTGAGCGGGCGAGAAACATGGGAAGCAGAGCTAGAGCTCCCAGAGCTGCAGCCACTAACGGTCGGTAGAACATCCATCCTACTCCGATGGTGAGGAGGGACAGAGAGCAGGAGACACACAGGGCGAAGATCTTCAGCCCCACAGAGACGAGCTCTCTGAGGACAGGAACCCAGTCCACTGTACGCACACAACAGAAAACATTAGGGACAGGAGATGCAAGAAATCAATCCGTGATGTGGAGCAGTGAGTGTGTGTTTACCCAGCGTGTAGATGATGCGCATGGTCATCTGGATGCTGAGGAACATGAGGGCCCAGCCTGCAGCCCTGAGTCCCCACGTCTTCATACTGTTGGACTGCTGCTCCTTCTCAAAAACCTCCTACAGAAACAACAGAACGATCAACTTCCAGAACCAAACGTGGAAAATATCAAAACATGCTATATATGCATTTTCCTATGCCGATTCCTTCTAATCATCATTTTCAGATGTTTTTTCTTCCTAATAACTATAATTGACGGCATACACAAACATTTCTGGAACATTTCAATTCAACGGTATGTAAGTAAGACTTTGACAATTCAACAACTTCCCCAAAGCTGTCCAAGGAACAAAATGAAATCCCCGCTGACCTCTGCAGAGAGCTCCTCCAGGTACAGGATCTCCAGAGTGTCTCCTGACTTGGTTCTATACGACCTCAGCTGCTCCCCTCTCTGCATGGCCACAACACTGACCTGAAAACAGTCATGGTTTATCAACGAACAAGATTTCATTAGAATTAAAGGTGTGTGATCTGAAGAAAGATATAGTTTCAGTTAGGGCTAAAACTCTTTGGCCGGAATAAGATCTTAAGACAATTAATTGGCCACTATTTTGGTTAAGTAGAAGTCATTTTACAGAATGTTTTATTTTCTTTATTTTAATTAACAGAAGAACGGACGTCTTAGGGTTTTAGATTGCTGGTTGAGCAAACAATGATTTCAATAGTTCTCATTGGGCTGAATGAAATAATGGTTACAACGAATAACTATTTGTATTATTGGTTCAATGTTTTGGGTTATTTTTTGATTAAGCATTTAGTCATGTTTAGTTATGCGTGAGAGACCAAAGAGAAATCTATTTTCAAGACTTTGATGTTAATGTTGCACCAAGTATAGCGCAGCACTATGCATTTGTTTATGAGGGGTCAAAATGTTCATATTTTTTCCACACCCCCCAAAACTCACAAGATGATAAATATACACATTTTTAGGAAAAGTCACAAAGTTTGAGATGAGTGGGTTTTATGTTTACAGGGTTACATTTACTTGAAAGTGCAGGGAGATAAAAATGACCCTGTGGCGGTTCTAGTGTCGATACCAAAATATGACACAAGGATACAGTGGAAACTACTTAAAGACAATGATCTACTGCTCTGTCATCATGAAGGAAATGTATATTCTGACTTGTCTTCTGCAGCACTTACAGTTTGAGCCGGTCCGAAGGGAGACGTCTCGCCACTCAAACCAGCGAAGGAGAATCTCACGCGCACATCCCCGACCTTGTGAGCAAAACAATAAACTCAATAACTGCACCAATGTACGAGCATAACCCTTCAGCAGTTTATGTTTGTAGTGAAAGTGAAAGTGTACTTCATGAGGCTCACCTCAGGCCTGCGTGGGTTTTGGGTGTGATAGAAATAATCGTCATCAATGCTGAGGAAAGGGTCGATGTTAAAGAGGGATAAATCCCTCAGGCTCAGCGTCTGGAAGTTATTTATCTGCTCCACCAGGCCTGAGGACAACAAAACAATTAGTTAAATATTTAGGATTCAAGTTAAAACAATGTTACATACACACAATAGTGTATTGCTGTTATTTACTTAATGTATTTGTGTGTATAATTCTTTAAAGATACCTTTGGACAGACTAAAAGGTCCAACTCCAACATCAGGAGCCACGACTGTCACACTCTCAACTGCCATGGCACTAAAATCAAGAGATGAAATTAGAGATAAACTCCACACAAACACACACATTTTTTATTTATTGATCCATATTTGTGTACCTCGGGTTCTGGTGACCAATTTCCTTATCAAAATGGCGACTGTTAACCAACTCGGATTTCCACTCGGTGTCTAAAGAAAATGAATCACAACTCTTTAATTCAAACAGCACTCCAGATGAATCCATTAGTTGTTCAATATTTTTATAATTTTTCTACGAATAAAAAGAATCAACATCCTTAAAATCCAGATATATGTTCCAGAATATACAGTATTTAAGTTGTGGACAAAACAAGATTTGAGATAGAAATGTTTCACTATTTTCTGACATTTTATACTTTATAGCATGTTGTTGTCAAATACTGGAAAAATCACCAACTCACTGTAGTTGTATGTCGTCTCAGATTTGGTCTGACCATCCTCTTGGTAATCCCTAAAATCAGAACAGAGTAACAAACTCACTTCAAGCCAATGATGCTCTGTAATTCAGCCAACATTTTTCCACCCGACCGCACCCTGAATGTTGACATAAGCAGAGAACAGACTTACTTGCTCTCCTGGTACTCCACCCACTGATACATCTCCACCTGCCTCTTCAGCTTCACTGCCTGCACCAACACTCTGTAGTTTGGATCGTGGAGGGGCTGTGAACAGGATATGATTAATCCCCTGAAATAAGGTTTACTTCAGAATATGACTTTAACTGAGCAACTTAGAATGTTTTCTGGTAGCATGCCATTTCATTAAAGTGTCAAACTAGATAGAGAATTAAAGAAAACAAAGAAAATGATATCAAGATGTTTCCCCTAATCTGTACTGAACTTGTAAAATGAATATACTGTACTTATATATCTATATCAGCATTTTCTGACATGAGTCGGTAAATATGGAATACCGCCTGACTGATAAAGGATTTGTGAGATTTAAACAAACTGAAAATGAAGTGATAGTGTTTTACTAAAATATAAACTTTTTGTTGATAAGGATCTTATTTGGTTGTTACAGAATTGTACATATAGTAGTATTTCCAAAATCAAAAGTATGTCTTTATAACAATGACACAAAACTTTCAAGTGGTTTTCAAGGTAAATAAGTTCAAGGTTTTAGCGGAAGTGTGGAAGATAAAACAACATGCAAGGAGTCATCGAGACATTGTGGAGGAATCTGATGACCATAAATACTCAACAAGTTGATCCCAGTTGTTTGCTTCAGAAATTACAAAAAATGATGGAGTCTTTATCAGTATGTGATTAGAGAGAGTGCTCTGACACATCATTTTACCTGTGAGGTGTGCAGCTTTGCAGACAGGTGCACTAAACGGTCGTTGTTCTGCGGGTCGAGGTGGGAGAAAGGCTCCAACGACACAACCTGAGAAAGACCCTCATCCAGGGAATATGCTGTCCGCAGAGCCCGCCCCTGAGAACAGAAACCGTGACAGAGAGCATGAACTGTGTTGGTCTGGATGAACAAAAATGTAACTCTGACTTGAATAGTGTGCATTGTGGCTTTGACGTGACATACATGATACACTGCATTCCTTACCTCATTGGTGAAGAGAATATAGATTGAGAGGAAAAACAGTCCGACTCCAACAACTGTTCCTCCTGCAGTCTCACTTAATCGCTCCAGGAATCCAGGGTTGGATTTAACAGACACACGCTTGTGTTGGTTTGGGTCCGTAATCTGAGACACAAAAAAGCAACAAGAACAAGAGTTGAATGCACTAGAAATATGGGTGACATTATTGACTTGAAGAGGAAGTTTTGATAAATCACTCAAGTTAATACATGTTGGCTTTATATTCTCCTCCACAACAGGACACGAATGTATATCATGCTTACTTTAAATAACTATTTGTATTATGTTTAATGTAGCATGATTCACCAGGACATTGGATAGTAATATAAAAGACTTGCCTAGCAGTCACAAGAATATTTTATTAACATAAAACTGTGGAGAGTTTGGCTTGTCTCCCCTGACATAATGAATAACTCAGTGTGTTGCTGTTGTATAACATTGTAAAAGCTGCTTTTACTTTAAACTCCAGGAGAATGCTCTCTAAGTGATGTTGAACATTACAGACAGATATGCAAAGTCAAAATCTGTCTCTAGAGCTAGGCGTGACGGACACACCTCTTTTGTTCAGTGCTAATTTGGCTTCTGAGTATACATATGTCAGTCGCTAGCGTTGCAGCAAAGCTAACTCCAGAAACTGTTTTTGTTTCTCAGGTAAAAACAAAGCTTCTTAAAATGAATCACTTACTGTCTGAGCTGAAGACATGTCTCTGACTTGTTGAACTATGCAGTCAAACAGAAACGTTTGTTAGCGAGGGTTGAAGATGCCAGGAGACTGGAAGTTGAAACACGGTACATAGTCAGGACAGTGAGGACACCAGTGAAATGACACAGAGAGCGCTTTAATTGATACCCGGGGTAGAACGGAACTCTCACGGGTAGGCGGAGTCGGTAAACCTATAGACTAGGTATGTTCCACTATGCCGCATGGTTGTCACGGTGAGTTAAACAAGCGCATCTCAAGGAGGCTTTTTCCGACCCACACGTCTACTTCGCAAAGTATTATGGGTAGTCGAGTTCTGAAGCAGCTCAGCGTCAGCAGCAAGCAATCCTACTGCAATCTCTTAAAACATTTCATCCTCTAGTTAAAGGTTACGTAATGTTGGAAACTTGGAATTATGCCAGTTCAAGCCATTGTTGTTGTTGTTGCGTGTTAAGGCATTTTTTATTCAGAATGTATACAGTAAAGTACATAAGTACAATTGACGTAAGTCTACATTACCTAAATAGAACTTTGAATCATGGATCTGAAAACTTTACACACACACACACACACACACACACACACATATATATACCATGTATACATCACTTCAGGGGACATTACATTGACTTACATGCATTTCCTGGAGACTTATACTAACCTTAACCATAACCAACACATGCCTAACCCTTACCCTAACCCTAATCCTAAACATAACCAAGTCTTCACCCTAAAATTAATGATTCCCCTCATGGGGACCTCCAATTTGTCCCCATAAGGGAGGCGAGTCCCCACACGTGACTGTGTAAACAGATTTAGGTCCCCACAAGTATAGTAATGCTAGGCCACACACACACACTCGATAACACACAAGCAAACAAAGATGTGCCAGTCTTAAGAGGATTATTGCAAAGGCACACAAAGCAATTACTGTCTGTCACCTGTCATCATCATCCTCATCATCATCATCACCATATTTGTGAAAACAACTGACTGCACACAGACACCTTCACATAACTGAATAGGTTACACTCGGGAAAAGCACTACGACTGAGGGTGGCAGTAGCAGAACGGCTGAAAAGACTGTTAGGATGGAGCAGTATGATATAATTGTGCTTGGAACTGGACTTAAGGTAATTAAACACATATTTAATGCAAAAATACCTCACCTTGTGTGTGAAGAAATACAATCATCAATACCATTAACATGTTGTATTACGGTAAGATCCGATAAGATCTTTTAGTATATATGTACCCTAGACTATTTTACTTTTTAACACTTTACATGAAAGTAGTGGTCCCGCTTAAATGTAAACTGTATTTATTTGTATACCACCTTTCATGTAAGATGCACTACTTAAAAATGCAATGAAAATTCAACATCTTTCTCATGTAGAACAGAAAAGAGAGCATTGCAGCAGTCGAGCCTGCTAATATTGAATTGAGCATGCATGAGACTCAGAATTTGCGTGCGAGATAAACAGATTTCTAGATAAAAGGCAGTTAGTGTGATGTTACTGATGTGAGATTCAACATTTCTAAGTTTCTAAGAGCTTGTAGGCTTTTATTATGAACTGAGGGCTGACCTCCCCTATCTCTTTCAGGAATGTATCCTTTCTGGTTTATTGTCTCAAAGTGGGAAAAAGGTTCTTCACATTGACAGGAATCCTTACTATGGAGGAGAGAGTGCATCACTTTCTCCCCTTGAAGAGGTTTGTTCACATGAAAATTGCATATCCTTAATTTGAAGAAGTTGCTGCCCATTTGTGGTATTTAATGTGTGATATGTTGTCTACAATTACAGCTTCACAGGAAGTTTAAGGTTCCTGGTCCTGATCAGTCAATGGGCCGTGGAAAAGAGTGGAACATCGACCTCATCCCCAAATTCTTTCTTGCCAACGGTGAGAGCCTATAGCGCAGTTGAACTTGTGATAGGTGCATTATTGTAAATGAGTCGTTTTCTGTTCCCTCTGCCTTGTCTTTGCATCAGGTGACCTGGTGAAACTCCTGGTGCACACTGAAGTTACTCGATATTTGGACTTCAAAGTGGTTGAAGGCAGTTATGTTTACAAAGCAGGCAAAGTGCACAAAGTCCCCGGCACAGAAGAAGAAGCCATGCATGCTTCAGGTGATTAACTTGAACCTGAAGAACAATTCTTAATGATGACTTTTTATTCCATTGAGTAATTTTAAAACCAAATGATGTGTTTCAGATCTGATGGGCATGTTCGACAAGAGAAGATTCAGGAAGCTGCTGTTGTTTGCCCTGAACTTTGACATGAGAAATCCTCGGTCCTACCAGGATGTGGATCCTAACAAGATGACCACACGGGACCTCTTCTGCCGCTTCGACCTGGGACTAGATGTCATGGAGTTCACAGCTCATGCCATAGCCTTACACAACAGTGAGAGGTCAGTCACAGGAACTCACTTAAACTGGATAACAAAGAGTGTCAGGTGATCATTTTGGTTTCACCGGCCTGGTGCTGTCTCCTGCACCCTGCAGCTACCTGGACCAGCCGTGTGGGGAAACCCTCAGACGGATCCGGCGGTACACTGAGTCTCTGTCCCACCACAACCCCAGCCCATACATCTACCCCGTGTACGGCCTGGGAGAACTACCGCAGGGATTTTCCAGGTAATATTATAATGAATCAGATTGTCCCCTGAATTATTTTTGAGAGGTAATCAACATAGGAAACAAATTGTGGCATACAGGCTGTAAAAAGATCAGATTTTCACTACACAATGTTTGTGGCCAAAATAACTAACAATGACAACAATATTGCGATATCTATAGAAATATTGAAATAATAATGCTATGAATAATGTCACATTCATCCTTAACTTTGTTTACTGTTAAAGCTCGGTTGGATGCTACTCAATCGGAATCTATTGGTACCTGTTTATGTGGATAATTATGTAAATGATGCTGTATGATGTCCTTTTGTTGTTCTATTTATGTTTTTATGTTTCATGTGGAACTTCTTGAGCAGGTCTCCCTTGAAAAAGAGATCAATGATCTCAATGGGACTTATCTGTATAAATAAAGGTTTGAAATGAAATGAAATGACTGTAAGTGTAACTGTACAAAAGAGCAACAAAAGATGATGAACAGATAGAAATTGAGAGGGACTGGATTATTGACATGAATATCAATATTTTATCTTTTAAGTTATTGTCAATACTGGTAGGCCTATATTGTGATACCCCTGTGTGGAACTTTGCGTTGGCTACTAGATTTCATGATATAGATATGACAATCACAGTGATAATGACAATGACAATGACAGAAGATAGCCTGGATGTTTGTAATAATATATTTTTTTATTTATCTTGCACCATCGACATAAAAGTCACTGTGCATATTGTTCAGGTCCTTGTATCCTACCTGGTTCTGTGTTTCAGACTGAGTGCAGAGTACGGAGGAGCTTTTCTCTTGAACACAGCAGTGGATGAGATCGTGATGGATGACGGAAAAGTGAAAGCTGTGAAATGTGAGGGGAAGGCAAGTGTGTTTACATGGAGGAAGAGTAAAAGTGTTGGGATGTTTGTAGAAAATGTCCAGCAGCACAATTCTTCACTCAAAGATTGTCTTTCTGTTTTCGTCAACAGCTGTTCCATTGTAAACAGCTCATCTGCGACCCCAGCTATGTTCCTCATCGAGTGAGGAAAGTGGGGCGTGTGATAAGAGTCATCTGTTTATTAAATCATCCGGTTAAAAACACCCACGAGGTCAACTCCTGTCAAATCATCATGCCTCAAACGCAACTCAACAGAAAATCTGGTATTTTAATCCCTTTTTTTACGAAGCATCAACAATTACTAATTATTATTTGAGAATAAATTATTGTGGTAGATTTTGGTTCACAAGAAAACCCTTTTGTTTCATCCATGCAGATATTTACATATCTGTGGTGTCTTATGCCCATAATGTGGCCTCAGCCGGGATGTACATCGCCACAGTGAGCACCGCTGTGGAAACCAGAAACCCAGAGACAGAGGTTCAGCCGGCGCTGGAGCTCCTCAAGCCCATCATGCAAAAGTAATGATTTCATTTATTTATTTATCATGGTTGTGTTAAACAAATAACTTTTTAAAGCTAAATGTAATTGATTTTATATGTTTTCTTTTGGATAGGCAATGACAATGGTAAAATATGAATAACCCCTAATGTCTTCTTAGTTCTATTGTCAGTATGAAGATATATTAATTCAGAGAATAAGTATTCAGAGGAATTGGTGTCAGGGTCTTTATTGTATTACTATTTATTTATCTACTTATTATTATTAGTATTATTTTATTATCAGTTCTTATTTTTGTTGTTAAAGTTTTCCAGGCATGTCTTGTCTGTTTGTTTCATTCTGATGCAACACTAATATAAATGAAATGTTTAAAATGTAATGATAAAAGCAACAGTAGAATTACACTATTTTGAAAAAATGACGTTATTTTATTTCACCACCTTGAACCTAGATTTGTTTCAGTCAGCAACTTGCTAGTTCCCAATGATGATGGAAAACAGAGTCAGGTAATGAGAAGACTTTCTGTGAAATAAAATAAAACATTAAATGAAATGGGATGAAGTTTGGCTGGTGACAGATTTCCTCTCTCCTCTCTGTTCACTAGATATTTGTGTCCCGCTCATATGATGCATTAAACCACTTTGAGACTGAATACGAGGACATTAGAGACATGTACCGCCGGATCACAGGAACAGAGCTCTGCCTCGGAGGATCTCAGAGACATAACTCTCACACCTCGGATGAAGACTGAAAAAGACTTCAGGGACAAGTAATGCAACCGTTGGGAGGCCGTAATAACAATATTGAAGGTTATACTCACGGCCGTGAAGCAGAGTCGGGGGGCGATGGAGAGAGAGTAACTAAGGGAATATTGGAGGTTTTTTTCCTGTAGTTAGTTTGCTATTTATACTGTCTGTGAAATTTGAAAAAAAGAAAAGTTCATAACAATTTGGAAAAAAACATTTATGATTTGAAGTAGTAATCTTCTTTAATCTTAATTGAATAATACTCAATGTATTCAATATTTTGTTACATTCTGTATTATTTAGATACTCTGGGGATATTAGTATTTTCTATTTTGAATTTGTATAATACTTGCCACTAATGAACATTTAAATTTCAAGTTTAAATGTATACATGCCGCTAATGTTAATGTTTATTATATGTGTATCATATTGCATCTTTTAAACATTTTAAAGTGTAATGCTTTACACTGATGATGGAAACATTTTTCCCAATTTGGGATAAATAAATTATATATATATATAATGTTTTTGTATGGGACAAGGTGATGCTTTTGACTGATGTAAAGTCCTGAGAACGCTTGCACTTAGGATAGAAATACATCTTAGGTCTGTTTTATTATTAATAAATCATTACTTTATCTAGTATCGCTTGGTGTTCATTATTCAATATTATTTATCTGCTGGATTTAAACATTGAGACTGACACTGGGCATGTGGCACAGAGGCAGATGATTAGAGGATGAATCCGGGGGATATGAGGAGGATTTGTGGATCGTCTTATCTTTTGCAGCTTATGTGTGAGAAGGACAAAGCCAATGCATGATGTCATGTGCGGTACACAGGCAGCTTGTAGGGTGGAGCCTGCCTGAGGCAGAGGACACACAGCGTAAGGAGGATTAGCCAAATGAAGGACAGTCACCACCAACACCTCGGGTTGAATACATACACATTGTTTATTGTTCTTATTTATACATTTGTACAAAAAGAACCCTTTTATCTGCTGCATAGACCATTGTAGAGTTGCAACGAATAACCAACTAATCAATTACTCGATCAACAGAAAACTATTTTGATCATTGATAAATAAAATTAAAAGATTCAGGCAGAATTGGATAACCTGCATTTCTCTGTTTGGTATCATAGTTATTTGAATATCCTCGGTGTTTGGACTGAAAAAAACCCAGACATTTAGAAACATCACCAGTGAGAAACTGAGATGGAATTTTTTTCATCATTTTATAAACCAAACGATGCATAACCAGCAAATGAATCAATAATGAAAATAGTTGTTGGTTGCACCCCAGAAAATAGCTACTCTTCCAGGTGTCTTTACAAAAATAAATATTCCATATCCCACAAAAAACACATGCAAATCATAACAGGTTATTGTTTGTTTCTGTTTATACTTTTTTACAGTCTTTCTGAGACAGCTCACTGCTCAGATCACTGGGTGACGAGGCTGAATTTATAAAGAATAGTTGTTACTAAATAAAGTGTTTCTTTAGAGCTGGACGTCACTGAGTTTGTTCCTTTGGAAGCATTGTGCAGAAGAAGAATAACCCTCCCGTAGACCTTGGGTCAATCAGACACCTCTAAACTCCATCTGCACAAATCAGTCCTTGTTTCTGTTGACACAGCAGCAACTCTTATTCCTGTTTGAGTGACAGCGCCGTGCTGACAGGAGGCGGGATCAGACCTGCAGCGACCACTCTGCGCTCACTGATCAGGAAGTTGAAGGTTGCACATGCATTTGCCTGCAAAACAGAAGAGATGAAAAAGAAAGACAGAAAGTTGAATTAGGGCGCCTCAATTAGTGTAAGAGCGTTGTGTGTGTGAGTCATAACGTCAGAGAGACCCTGAGAATACTTTACCGTGTCTTGCACCTCCACAGCGATGCCTTTACGCTTGAGTAGAGCGAGGACTGAGGGATCAATTTGTTCAGTCCGTGAACCTGTGCCCAGCACAAGAATCTCTGGATAAACAACAAGAAAATATGTCCAGATAAGTGAATAAATGCGGAATAACCTGAATAACTGCTTAGAAAACGTAATGAATGCAAATAAAATGTATTTGTTTCACAGGCTGCAGATGTAAACACTATTTACCATGGGGGATTTGGGACAAACATGTTAAACAGCGCTAAACACTACTATCTTTTTCTGATGTTTCTCTTTACACTATATTTTGGTTTTCTTTTTAATCCATCACTCAGCTACACATATATTTACCTATTCTTGGTTCAAGCATGTGGAAAAGTGAGACGCTTTCTTCTGTGATGTCTTTATGAGTGCCAACCTTCAGAGAGAGAGAGAGAGATATTTAATAAACAACAATAAACCCAGTTGTTTGACTTCATCATAAATCAGTACTAGTTTGGATATTGATCTCACATTCCACTGCAGGATCGCAGGAGGCAGCAAAGCACAGGGCCCCAACACTTTGTTTCCGTCGATGTTGAATCCCCTGGAGCTGTAGTTGTAGATCATGACCCCGCTGCCCGGCTCCTTCTGCATGACGGACACCGAGGTACGCTGGTACATCTCATCATCGCTGGGATCCAATCTGTGTGCACGAGACAGAAAGGGGCTGCAACAAACACAGTAGAATGAACTAGAATCAATGTCATTTATTTACACAGGACTTGTCACTTATACTAACAATAGCAAGTATTAAGAGTGCTTATAACGAGAGTCTCTGAAATTATGTTTTTATTGCACAGGTCTTATCCTGGGCTGGATGAATTTAATTGTGACCAGTTGTGATAATCGAGTATGAAAGGGAATTATAATCAAAATTATTAGCCCTATTTTCTCTGTGAATCCTCCATCACTTCAACAGGCTGCACTGAGGAACTGTTTCCATTTGGCCCAGTTTGAAAGCCAACATATCTAAAGCCAACCTACTGACAGGGCTGACAGCCAAAAGCTTCAGGCCTGTTTCTTCAGAAAAAAAGCCAAGAAAACGTTCTGCTTGTCCAAAGAGCTGCCGCACATTTCAGCGTCTTCTTACCCATTTTCTTCCTGACTTTACAAACACATTGGGCAAGCCCTTGTTGAGATGGGACACACTGTTCTTGTTAGTCCACTAGTGTCTCATCAGTGGAGCAGAGGACTTATGAGGTGAGTCAGACTGAAAGTAACCAAAGACTCCACCAGATGCAGCCAGAAGAAGGTTAACGTTTGTTTCTAATGGGAATTTTTGAGTTTTAATGGAGTTACATCAAAAACCTTTACACAGAAGATGTCAAAAAGTGAAATCAGTTCACTTTGCTCTCACAATGTTAATGTATTATTATTTTCTAAGCAATCATTCAATCAATTGGTCAGCGACAATACAGCACATACAAACATTACCTTACATGACCTCTAAATGATTTATAGAGTATATAATCTACAACAGGTACCCAAACTGAAAAGCTACACATGTGTCTTCTCAAAACTATGACGTTTTAAATCACAAGTGTTAATAATTAGATTGTACGTGACACATACAGTATGCTCGCCTTGGAATCATATGGTCAATGGTCAATCTCTATTTTCTGTCATATTTTACAAAATACATCGTTGATTATTAAAAAAGATACAATGGATGGATGTGACATCCCATGATATAATGTGACCTTCAGTGTAAAGAGCATGACTTGGATAGTAATGGTTATTTTAATTGTGTATTCATTTTAATGGGAATAACACTATGCTATACAAAATAGGGCATACAACTATTTCTTCCTCTGTTAAATAGATCTAACTTGTATTAAAGAATGGTGATAGTTGAAGCATTTCATAACAAAACAGGACTCCTCTCCTCTACCCAGAAGGGAGGAAATATTAGGGACAGTTGCTGAAGCGACACCAATACAATCTTCATCTTAAAAACAACACAAACTTTAGAAGAAAAACTACCGTACCTTGAGAGAGCGGGTCCTGCCCTGGAGGAAAAGAGAAACCCGTGTGTTGATCTCTGAAGGAGCAATCTAGCACACACAGCAGTGGCCATGTTCAACCGGCGACACAGAAGGGGGACGGAGTTCTGTGTAACACCAGCCGTCTGTTTCCGGTGTTGTGTAAAGCTCAATCGAACCATTTTTATTTTACTTGTATTAATGTGCTTTCAGTTTAAGAACACTTAAAAACTGGGAAGTTAATGTTAAAGATGTATTCATTGCTATCGGGATGTTAAGAGCATTCCATGGAATATAACAAAAAGTGTTTCTGAAGTGAATTACCTGCCCTACCTTTAATATGCATTAAGTCAGGCACAGCAAATTGTATAATAGTCTACTGTTATTATTGAATTATTATTTAAACATTTAGAAAGTGTTATCACTGCCTGTATAAGGAACTATTTTATGAAATGTAATGGTGATGCGGCTGTTCAGGGATCAGTTCGAGGATCCTGCTCTGCCTTTGATTAAGATGCCTGTGTGGAGCAGCAGCGCCCCCTGCGGTGATCATCGATCACTGCACTCAGGTCAGATGATCCGGGCTGCTACATTGTAAATAGACAGCGGCGATCCACCGGGGCCATGCCTTCATAGTCTCTTTAAATCTCCTCCAACAGAGCAGATTTTTCCTCTCGGAGACTACTTATCTTCCGACACCGGTTCTTTCGATATTTCTGGTAATTTCGGCTTGTTAAAGTGTTTTTATTAAAGTATGTACCGGTCTCTGTACGCCTTCCGATCCGCGGAGCCCAACTCGCTGCACTTCGCGGCCGGAGAAAGCTTCCTAATCCTGGAGAGGAGCAACAAACACTGGTGGCTGGGGTCCCGCTGCAGCTCGGGGGAAACCGGCTACATCCCCTCGTCATACATCGAAAAAATACAGGTAAACAACACCAATATCCTGTGCGAGGACCATGTCGCATCCTGGGGTGAAAGTGAAATCTGGTGAATGCGTAGTAACGTTCAGGGTTGAATTTATGGGATCGAGAGAGACAGATCACTCGTAACTATACTATATGTCCTAAAGTGCAGGCCAAACTGAAGCTGACTGCAGATTATAGTGAGGACGGAAATGCACGCTTGCTGTAGGATCCATAAATTATTGGAAAGGTTGCATTATGTAGGGACATTGCCCTTCTGCACTGCAGCTGCTCACTGCGACAGAGGGGAGATATAGGAGAGGAGTGATAGGGAGGAAGGAAGGATGGATTATGTCAGGATAGGATGATTTAGAATGTCATATGAGACAGGAAATAGTCAAGGACCATACAGCAGCAAGACAGAAACCCTCTGTTTGTGCTCAAACTCCTGTGACTTTGTCTCTATTTTATTATCAAGGATCATTCTAACTGTTCTTTTTATTGTTTAACAAGTAGCTACTCTCCCCACAGCTTTTCTGTTGGACACACCCACATGCACTATGCAGTCAGAGGACTCTTTTCTCCAAGGATAACTAGTCAGAGCATGTACTTTGTGAGATCACAGGCTGACACAGTGGCAGGATAGGAATGCTCTCTCGTCCCTGTCATTGGCTGTTGAGGTTTAATGAGCTGAATGTGATGCCTCAATGGGCCACTGGTTAAATAGGCTCTTTTTTATTCGTTAGATAACCGCCCTAGTTTGTTTCTGCCTGGAGTCACACACAAGTCCCCGGGCCACAAGTCTGTTCTGTTTTGTTTAAAGTTGAATAATTATGTTAATTATCCCTATTTCTCTCTTTTTTTTCTGGAGGCCCCAGAGCAGGATGAAGTGTTGCAGTCTATTGACAGAGCGATCGAAGGAATCCACAATGTGGCCTTAAAGAATGGAGGCAAATACAACCTGGAGCAGAGAGATGTTCTTCAGTAAGAATAACATTATAGTTTATAATTATGTTCTTCTTCTTCTTCTTCTTGTTCTTATTCCTCTTATAGTTTCTGGCCCTTTCTATGTTCCATATATAAATCATATATATATACATTTCTGTTGCAGAAAGTTGATCCATCACAGAAAGGAGACGCTTGCACGACGGAGTTCTTCGTCCTCCGTTCACAAACAAGGCCTCCCATCTTCCAGCAGTGAAATATCTCTCAGTAAAACTCCTCCTCCTCCCAACGGCCTTAACCGAGACGGACGGCAGAGCAGTATGCCGATGTCAGGAAGCGTAGACAATATACAGTCAGAACAGGGTTTTTATCAGGTGAGAAATGATACAAAGTACACATTTAAATGTTTTATTTGAAACCACCTGCCATGGTCAAATATACACGAGTAAAACATTTAGATATTATTGAATATTCTGTCTTTTTTGTTTTTACTTTTCTGTCTACCTGTAAAGCACTTTTTTGTAATGTATGTAATTATATATTTTACTTATGTTCGGCATCTAACACAATTGTATAGGATGAGTTACAAATGTTGTATGCATACATTGTCCATTTATTCCCAACATCACAAACTATAGCCTGTAACATAGCGAACCAAATTGTGTGACACAAACAGATCCAATTTCTAATGAACATTTGCTGCGAGCTTCTTCATTTTGTAAAATCATAGTCATGTCCATCCATGCTTCGACGTTTTGGATTCCTGCAATAACGCATGGTACATCTCTTTCGATAGATATTGGGATTTGTGCTTGATAAGTTGATCAGAAACTACATCTGTTCTCAATGTGCAGATCAAAAACACATCCCATCTTTCGGATTATAACTTCAGTTTTTTCTTCTTTGATAAAAGAAATATCAGTAGTTCAGCTCCAACAATTATGTGACGAATTAATTGATCAATTAAAAAATAATTTTTTAACAGAAAGTATCTTTCTTTTAATGCTATAAGGTCAGAAAATGCTGTTTTCAGCCTCTCTAATGTGGAGATTTCATCCTTTTTTTTTATCGCATCACAAATATCAAACATACTGAATATTTATAGATCAAACAATGAATGAAGAGGCACATTCATTGAAAATGAGAACAACGGTTAGTTGCAGCCTTGTTGACATTACCGGGGTATGCATCTCTGACAGCAGTGAATAAGATCATGTTGTGGAGTGTAGAACATCACGCACACAACATTTGCCCTCAGATGACCTGGTTTGTATTCTCCTCCTGCAGGTGCCTCCTCAAGCTCGGCGTGCGGCACCAACCACCCCCCCTCCCCCGGAGAAACAGAGGAACAGCCGGCGTCCAGGTGAGATCTCTCAGCCTCACTTTAAAGCTTATGACTGTCTCACAGATCCCAGCGCAGCCTTGTTGTTTTCAGCTGATGCTACCTGCTGCAGCTCTATTACTTCACAAACACTCTATTCTTAGTCAGGTCACTCCTGATCACCCTCCTCTCTGTAACTGGAACTCTCTCTCTCTCTCCCTCCCTCAGCAGATCCAGAGGTCCCCTCCAGAGGGTCGTCTCTCTCTCCGTCCCCTGCTCCCTCCCTCACGATCAGCACCACCTCTTTAGAGTCAGGCTCCTCCCACTCAATGGTCTCCTCTGATGTCAGCTTGCCAAGTGTGTCCAGCACCCCCCCCTCCTCCAGTGCCGTCCCGCGTGAAGCCCGTTGCTCCTCCCGCAGACAAGCCTTCCTCCGACTCCCCCCCTCAGCCGGCTCCACAGAAGAAGAGCCCGGCTCCACAGCCTCCCCAGCTCACCCCCCCTCCCTCGCAGCCCGCTGTAGAGGAGCAGCGTGAGAGCGAATGGCCTGTGGCCCCCCCGTCCATCGCTGAGAGCCCTGCCGGCAGCCCCTCTCCCTCTCCCTCTGAGCCGATTCCCAGGACCATCGGGGCCGAGCTGATCGAGCTGGTGCGGAAGAACACGGGCCTGAGTTACGAGCTGTCGCGGGTGGCGGTGGGCGTGGTGGTGGGCCACCTGCAGACCACCTTACCCCAGGCCGCCGCCGACCTGGAGCAGGTTCTGCTCTCGCTGGTGGACAGCAAGGTCAGATTTGTTTTCATTTCATCGTGTGGATTCAGCGCTCCCAGGAGAATACCGATGTCTTATAGAGTTACAGCTCAGTCTGCATTTAGCTGACACCTCAGAGTTGTTTAGAGACGCGGGGGACAGCACACACAGAATCACTCTCTCATTTCCTGTTTCTAAACGCAAGCTTGAAATGAACTGCTGATTATTTCCTGGCACACATTTCTGTTTCTTCCTGTGGGTGAAAGGTGGTTAGTAGTGGGCAGTGGGTCATGTAACCTAGAATAGCTATGATGAAAGCTTTTGGCTGCATCCTTTATTTACATGGCCACACGTGGGTACACTTGACCCCGCTCATCCAATTATAAAGCCTTAAACACTCTGAGGTCTCTGCAGCGGTTTTTAATTAAGGAACACTCAATTAGGGCTTCACAAAACACTTATAATACAGATCAAATTGAAACGATACCAAATAGAGCAGAGAAGCACACAATGTCATTAACTTACACTTGTAAAAACACCAATGTTACCCTTTAAAGTCGGTATCTGTAATGTGCTTTTCAACCTACCGAAAATGATCCGCCAGCCATATCGTTTTCTATATCAGAGAGATAAATGACACTGTGTACTGGTATTTCAAGTTGGAGCACTAACAGGTGTGTCATGGTGTTTTCTGTGGCTGCAGGTTTCGAGTGCAGCGCTGCCGCAGGGTCAGGTGTGTCACGACGAGCAGAGGCTGGAGGTGATCTTCAGCGACCTCGCCCGTCACCAGGGCGACTCTCAGCAGCGCAGCTGGGCACTCCACGAGGACCACGCTCTCATCGCCTGCTACCTGGAGGAGCTGCTCAAGATCCTGGTAAACTCTTACTGCTACGTCTGAAGGGCTCTGTTTCTGAAGTGTAGGGAGATGGGATGACAGAAGTGTATATCTGTCAGTGTTTGATTATAAAAGCACTTTTCAAAATGAAAGGTGCACAGTCAAAGCTTTAAATATCATGTAGTACAGTAACACAAGAACACGTAGAAGACAAGTCATTTAACATTACCTGCTTTCACCTTATTTCTCCACATGTATGTGTCTAACTTACTAATGATTTCTTTAAATTGGTCCAGTATTAAGTGTGGATCTCCCATGGGAGCACAGGACTCCCCAGCTGTCATGCTGTAAATACCAGACATGTTTGATGGGATCAGACCGGCTCAGACTTTACAAATCCAGCAGTGTGTTAAAGACTGAGGCTGTAAACTCCTCTGGCTGCCAAATATTCTCTATTGGCCCCAACCTCAGGGATTTCCAGATGAGTTGTAAAAGGGCTCCATAATCCACAACTGTCAAACAGATTAGGAAGTTAAGAGATTATTATATCATTGCCGTTACAACTCAAATCTGTTTCATTTCAGACTGATGCAGATCCAGAGGTGTGTAAGAGGATGTGCAAGGCCAGCCACTACGAGAATCAGCTGTCCCTGGTTTCTTATTATCAGATGGTAAGGCATATAATAAAAGAAAAAGGAAACAATTCACACATCTCTTAATTCAAACTTGAAGACTGGGTGTTAGATACTTATGTAGGAGACCTCTCCAGTTAGACCTTTTAAATATTGCCAGAATAAATTATATGAAGGATGTCCTGCCGAAACATCTGTCTTACGATTTTCAAATGTCAAACTGGACTGCTGTTTGAGTCTTCTGAGTTTAAGACTTTATTATAATGAAGCAACATTAATTAATCTGTATTAGAGACAAATTAGTTAATAAGGATTAGGGAATATATTCCTGTCAAAATAAAAAAGAAAGTCCTTTTCTTTTATGGTTCTTCTTTATTATTATTATTATTATTATTATCATATATATTCAGTTCTTATAAGAATATATCAAAGTGTTACTTCTTACCCAAAGATGGCCATGAAGATATTTATTGTTGATTACATGCTAAATACAAATGTTCTGTTCCAAGAGCAAACTAGATGTTTTCCCTCGTTGATCTGAACTAGGCTTGGTGCTGATAAGTAAAGAATGAAATGTTGTTCTTCCATTTTTGCCGTCATGTGCAGGAGAATCGAGTGTCTCTGCGGCTGCTGCTGCTCAAAGTGTTCGGGGCGATGTGCAGCCTCGATGCTTCGCTCATCTCCACCCTCCTCAACTCCATCCTCCCCATGGAGCTGGCCAGGGACCTACAGACTGACACACAAGGTGAACACATTAACTCTCCCCTGTCTCCTGTTCATCTGTAGTATTACCCTTCTTTATATTGACCACAATTTCTCTTTCCTGGTCTGTGTTTCTGTCCTCAGAGCACCAGAAGATCTGTTACACAGCTTTGGTACTCACTATGATTTTCTCAATGGGCGAGCAGGTGCCATATCTTCACTACGGTATGTTGTTTATTCACAGTTCTCCTCTGCATATTAGCTTATACGCAGACATAAAACTATATATATATGCTGATTTTCCTGGTCTTTAAGTTGTACATGCATGCAGTATAAGGTGTATTACAGGGATAATGTGTTAAATGTGATAATGTGTTTTTATTTTATTCTTAAGACGTAATCCTGACCCTCCCTGCTTTTAGAACACTTGAATGCAGACTTTGTTCAGTTTCTGCTGGGTGTGGTGGAGGACGGGCTTCCCTCTGATCCCACAGAGCAGCTGCCGGACATCTTCCTGAACCTCGTGCTCTCCTTCAACCTGCACCACACGGGTGAGAACGGCAGCAAATACATAGCAAAAATATAAATCATTACATTATTAGGACTCTGGTCCTGGACGGAAAAGCAGAGCCATCATTAATGTGATGTGTAATACCTATACTTTTCCTGCCACAATAAATCAAAATGCCTGCCAAAAAAATTGCTGCAATGCACAATTGTGGAAGTGTATTAGGGCCAGGCATATGAAAGCAGAAGGAAGGAAGATGTTTTGTCATTGGCAAGAATAGATCCAGCAACTATTATTCCCAACATTTCAAATAAATCCTGCAATGCAAAATTAGAAATGTATCCTACTCTTATTTGTTTCTCCTTATGCCTGGACCTAATACTCTTCCCTACACGAACAAGTTCTACGTTTGTATTTATCAGCTGACGTACAGAGCTTTTATTGTTTGACTATTCTCTCTGTGTTGTCTGTGTCACCCAGAACCCGACAGCAATGTGATCATGCAGGAGCTGAAGAAGAAAAACGTCAAGATCCTGTCAGAGAAAGTGCTGCTGCTTCTGAACAGAGGCGGTAAGATAATACACTGTTGTGATATTTCTCATTCTGCATCAATGCTTTTGTGTACTGACGTCATCGTGACTGACTCTTTGACACCTCCCCTCCAGACGACCCTGTGTGTATGTTCAAACACACCCCGCCTGCACCGCACTCAGTGCTCAAGTTCCTGCAGGACGCTTTCTCCAACCGAGAGACCGCTGACATTTTCTACCGCACTGACATGATGGTGATGATTGATATTGCTGTCAGACAGATATCGGACCTTTCGCCTGGAGACAAGGTAAGACCTGGACAGGCTACTGATTGATCTTATGCTTTAAAGTAGTAGTTTCACATTTGGGAAGAACTCCTTTTTGTTTTCTTGTTGAAAAGTAGACGAGAAGATTGATACAATTCGTAGTACCATAAATACAGCTGGTTAGCTTAGCACAAAGACGAGGAAACGGCTAACCTTGTTTTTCAAAAGATAACAAAATCTGCCTTTCAAATTTCTAAAGCTTACTCACAGACCAGTTGTAACTTTTTTTTTTAATCAGTATTAAATAAAGTGTTAAATCCAGAAATTGTGTTTTTTGCCATAATATTTTGACGCCAGTAGCAGAAACCTCCCCGAGATTGCAGCTTCTTATTTATTTGCTAGATATGACAGGTCTCATACCAATCTTATCATCTAACTTTGGACAAGAAAGCAAATAATAATTTTTCCTAAAAAAGCAAATGTTAATTGTTTGTAACTATGTCTGATTATTACCTCCTCTTTCGCTCTCCCATGAAGCTGAGGATGGAGTATCTCTCCCTCATGCACTCCATCATACGCTCGACGGACTACCTGGAGCACCAGCACCGCCTGCCTGACCTGCAGGGGGTGCTGCAGAGGATTCTCAGGGAGGAGGAAGATCCAGGAGAGGATGAAGGGAGCGCTACTGCGAAACAGATGGATAAGCTAATTGTACAGCAGATCTACAAAGAGTTCCCTCAGATCAGTGAGAACCAGGACTAACCGTATCAGTATCATGCTCACACACTGTAGTCCGCTCCCGTCTACTGCAGGGAGGAACACATGGAGGAAGAACACTTGACATTCAATGTGACGCCCTGCTTTCTGTGCCAGCCTGTGATAGGAGAAACCAATCGGTTTTGCCAATGTTTTCTTGGACTTGTGGTCCACGGCTGCAGCATGCATGTGATTTTTTTTCACAGCTTCTTCCATTCTCAGATGAATTATATTTGTGTGGGAGTGTGAGGTTTCTTTCTCTGGTGTTCTTGAACAAGAAGGGAAAATATGACACAAAAACCTGTGAAGTTTAGTCATACTTAAGGATTCATATCTAAAACGTAGGCCAAACATTGGAGCTGTTTCTCAGTGAATTCATTGCAATAATGACCTTTAAAATCCCACAACAATTCTCTGTATGTACTCAGAGTATGTATAATGAAAATGTGCTGCAACCACAACTTAACATTATATAACCAAAATATATTTTACCAAATTAGGCCAAATTCAAAGATTTTGACTGAAAAAGGCAGATTTGAGGTTATGTTACAGAACAATGTGCCATTATTCAATCTATTGTGAAAATACTTAATGTGCTTCCGTTGTAGCGGGACCAAACTACTGTGTGTTACATCATTGTTTTCTTAAAAGAGTATTCAACTCTTAAAACTGACTTCCTCTTCACTCAGTATAATAAGAATTAAATTCAAGTAGAACGAGTTGATCATGTTTTCTGTTCTAGTGCGGGAGAGCACACTGACTCCTCTGTTATCATTAGCTGAGTCACCCGCTGCTACATATCAAGTCCCTCCTGTGGCTCCTGCAGATCTCTCTGTCCGGTACTTTTGTCTCTTTACTGCTTCTCAAACACTTTAAGATAACCGCTCTGTACTTATTATGCAAAGCTCCTCTAGCGTCAGAAGTCTTGGCTGTTTACAGATTAGTGTCTGTATGCTGCATTCACACTAAAACTAAAACTATCTGTGCTGCAATAAGTCTATATAGCCACTTTCAATATTGCTGTAATATGCTGAGTCTTTCTGAAAGGGAAATGTGTTCTGCATTCATTACTCAAGATAATACATTCGTCAGCGTTGTTGATTTCCAGTTAATTATCTAATGCTCTCTTACTGAAAATCAAGACAATGGAGAGAAAACATATTTAATTTAATTTTAGTTGTAATACTTTAACAGCAACATGTACCTTTCCTTGTTTCTCCCTCATGATGTAGTGATCGATGTTTTCCCATCCTACTCATCTCTGTTTTGATCTCTGGCATGGTGACCCGTCTGGAGATGGTAGATGAAATCCAGAAGTGATATCAGTTTTTAGTTAATGACACAGTATTTGTTCATTAATTAGATGTGAGTCTGTTTACAGTGTGTGTGAGAAAGGTGAGCGTCTATTCTTTTTATGATTAACATTGTCTGCAAAACAGTTACGACTGTGTTATAATAAAACTAATAAAGCTATATTTTAACAGTGCACGTGGTCGGATTGGTTGTTGTTGATTTGAAGACAGTACAATTATAAAACATAATTAAATATTATTTCAGAGTTTTGTAAACATGCTGTTGGTCACACTGTCTCACATGTAACCAGCATAAGAGATACACAGATGTTTTACAGTTGCAGCTTCCAGCAAGTCTAGAGTTTGATGTTAACAGGTTAAAGGAAACGGTTACATTTTGCTCATGATCATGTTTGTTAACCCCAGTTTAGACCTTCTCTTTTTCCTTTCCTGTGGACATGTTTGCATGTTGTTCGTGCAAACCAGACTTATGTACAGTATATACATTAATTTGTTTTATTAATGAAATATTGGATATACATACACTTTTAAGGAAGATATGGTAATATTGAAGATTATACATCACAAAAAGAAAGAAAAACAAATTCAAGATACATTAAACTAAAGTTAAACATGACACTGCATGACAGCTTCATAAATAACAAAAGTTACATTTTGTTGTTTGGATATACAGTATAGTGTTGGATAAATATATATAGTTAATTGAGTCATACAGTATATTTTATTTTAAACTACGTGATATATTATTAATAGTATTGTAGGTGTATATTATGAAACAATCGCATACCTACTTTTTCCTCTTCTTCTTTTATATATATATATATATATATATATATACCAATGGTTGTACAATGGATACAGTAATATTGCCATAGTTATTATATGGATTATTTTTAAGTAAGTAAGTATTTGACAAGTTTTTAGTCAAGCATTTAAACCTCCTTTCATATATTCATATATCTCAAATATTCACTTGCTCAGAGTTTTTTTGACATTTGCATGACTAAATACTTTTTTGCCTGCCATTGTTGCTTTTATTAGTATTTCTTAAAATGTTCTTCGTTCATGTTTGGCCGAACTATTTTAATATGGAAAAAGTTAATATCTCACTTAAAATATCTAAATAAGGATGCTCGGTCTGTATTACTGTCTTCTTGGTTGGTAGATAGATAGGGATGGGGGGGGGGGGGGGGTCAGGGGTAAATTGTTATGATGATATAATAAATAAAATAAAAAGTGTGATCATTTTAATTTTGTGAGAATATCAATTCAATGTTGTCCAAAATCACCAATACACGTATACATATTAAATATTATTTTTTTATATTGTTTTTTTCTTTAATTGATTTTGTTGCTCATCTTTTACTTGTCACTTATTTCTTTAAACTTTTTAAACCTCAGAAGAAAGTTTCCACCCGGATGCTTCGCAGGGACGTACCAGAGTGCAGCGGTGTCGCACTCAGAGCGGTCCGGGTGAGAAAGTGGGTGAAAGGTCCAGAGGCAGGAGTGACAGCAGCTCAACAACACACCTCACCGAGACACAAACACACATGTAAGATATCATTCCTACTATTTTAAAACTAATTTCTCGGCGAGTTTGCATCTATTTCCGGTGTCGCTTCCATTCATGTTGTTGTGTTTTTCAGTCAAAATGTCCAAACAGAAGCAGCAGGCGATCAGCCCTCTGAAGAACTTCTTCGCTGGAGGCTTTGGAGGAGTTTGCCTTGTCGCAGCCGGACACCCTCTGGACACCATTAAGGTGATTAAAGCCTCTCACTAATACACTGGCTTTACAGTAGGATACACCTCCAGAGGCACCAGGTGGATGTATCGCACTTATGCAAATAGTATTATTATTATTATTATTATTATATGTTGCTGCGCAGAGCTGAGCACCTTTGACCCACATTCACTGTAACATGACTCGGCTTAAGTACCTCACCTGAATGCAGGAGGTTATATATACAGTCTATGAGTCAGGTATGTTGAAGTCTGTTATCATTCAATTAGATTTAAAGTAATTAGTTCAATACTCTTAATAGGTCCATTCCTATCCAACAGCCAGTTGGCCAATATTACCTAAATGACACCGGCCACTTTAGACCTGGATCAATCCTCTTCATTTGCTCAACAAGGTGCAGGAAACCAAGGGCTAAGGGTTGGGCAATATGAAAAAGAATCATATATCAAACTAGGCCCATTTGACATTCCTGCCCTCCCGCAATAAACACGTTTTTATATAATTATTTTTAAAATTATAAATAAACTGTGAACTTTAATGCTACGATGTATGTGATGTCAAATAGTAATATAAGAGTAATGAATGAAAAACAGTTATGAAATACCATATGACAAAATCGAAGGATCCAATGTGTTTTTAAACGAAGCAGAAATAGAACTAGTCCCCCACTTCAAGTATCTTGGAGTCATACTGGACTCGAACTTGACTTTTAAGAAACATATTAAGAAAGTATCCAACACTATTAAATTCAACTTGCAACATTTTAAACAAATTAGACCTTTCTTAACTGTCAATGCTGCAAAGTCATACCTCCACTGTATGATTCTATCCCACATTGAATACTGTTTGACAAACTGGTCGTTTGCTTGTGCCACACACCTGAAACCCATAGAACAGCTGTACAAGAGAGCTATCCAGGTGTTTGACAGAAAGCCATATTCACACCACCACTGTACCATCCTTGATAAACACAATTTCTTGAGTTTTGACAATTTTAAGTTTTTTAATGTGTTTTTTTTATAAATGTTTACATGGACTGCCCCCCCCCCCCCCCCCCCCCCCCCCCCCCCCACACACAAAAAACACACTGGACGCTGCACTAGGTCAGAAACCAGAGGAGACTGAAGTCCACCGCAGACGGACCACTTTTGGACAAAATGTCCTCTCCATTAAAGGCAGCTCATTGTGGAATAGCCTCCCAACTGAGATACGGATTGTCCCACTCTCAATAGTTTCAAAGGTCAACTCAAAGAATGGTTGAGAAACAACCAGACGGGCAATCACGCTAAATGCACTTTAACACAGGGGTATCTCCTCTTGCACTTCAGGTAGCTCTTGTATCATCTCTTGCACTTAATATGTCGTTGCTGTTATAGTGTACTGCCATGTGGTAAATACTTGTATATGCTGCTCTTGCTCTTTTGCATATCATGTATTTCTTTTTTGCTATGTTTACAAATGTCATGTTCTTATATGTTGTATGTCAGGGACTACGGATGGAAATGAGCTCAGAGCTCAAATCCGGCATTTTTACACTTGAAGAATTATTTGTCTAAAGTGTTGATTAATGTGCATTGTCCCTATTCAAATAAACGATAAAATGAAAATGACAGTAAAACAAGAATACAGTTTAAAAGGGGAGTGATTTGTAAAATATCCATAAAGAAAAATAAAATCTGTTTTCAGTTCTGTTTCATATGGGTGTTGAGACGTGTATCCATAGATCTCTTAATTTTGCTCTCAAAGTGCACCAGATTGATGCTTTTAACTTCAATATTAAAAAAAAATCTTCCCTGGCAAGCATGCGAAGAAAATCTCTGGCCGCGGCACATGACGGTTTTGCCCTCCCATGAAAATCATATGCCCACTCTGTAGATTTGTTCTGGCGCCGGGTCTGCCATTGATGCTTTCACAGATTATTTACACATTGAAAATGTTGTCAAATAATCATCAGTAATGTTGACATAATAACTAAGTTGTTAAAGGCAAATTATTTACCGGCTAGAACAGTCCGTTAAATACAGAAAACGACATCTCTTTACTGTAATGCAGACTTTATAACCAAGAAAAATAAGACTTATTGTGTTTACCGTGTCTATATGCATTGAGATGCTGCTATTAGGTATTGGCCTTATCAAGCATTTAAAAAGACGTTTCTTGTAGAGTGTATTACCACTTTTTTTAAAAAGCTGATAGGCAAATATTTAACAGGTTTGTAGTTACAGTTGCTTATTAACACATAAAGCAAACACCGAGCAACAGTAGGAGTCATTTTTCTTGCCACCAGGCGAATTAACTCAAACATTTTCCTCTAAATCTAAAACTGGCTTGTGGTTGGAGTTCAAACTCAGCCTAAAGATCTATAGTTGCGGTCACCACACAAAGATACACACAATGTGAGGTTCAAACTGCTGCCACTGTGATAAGTCTCTGTGTATGAAGTCGTACAAACAGAGTGCATCCTCTTCCTCCTTCAGGTGCGTTTACAGACACAAGCCAAACCCAAACCTGGAGAGAAGCTCATCTATGCTGGAACCATCGACTGCTTTAAAAAGACCTTAGCCAAAGAGGTGAGGATGCCTGCTGCCTTCACTAATCAAATAAAGAATATCATGCTAAATGTATTTCCCCCGTCATGCTGTAACCTTGTCATCTTCTTCCATCCCAGGGTTTCAAAGGACTCTATAAAGGCATGGCAGCCCCGATCATCGGGGTCACACCCATGTTTGCTGTCTGTTTCTTTGGATTTGGAATGGGCAAGAAATTCCAACAGAAAACCCCCGATGATATCCTTACGTAGGTGATGGCTTGGAATTAGACTGTGGTACTCTTCCACTGTTTCAAACTCTCTAAGAGTGTTAATATGTACGCTTCCTGTCTTCTGAAGGTATCCTCAGCTGTTTGCCGCAGGGATGTTGTCTGGTGTGTTCACCACGGCCATCATGGCTCCTGGAGAGCGAATCAAATGCCTCCTACAGGTCAGACAGAAATACAGGGCGGTGCTTTTCATTTTGCTAACGTGTCTCCTCGCTTCCTTGACTCGTGTCTTAATTCCTCTCAGCGAAGGTGTGTGAGAGAATCGTGAGAATGAGACGTGATGAAATAGCGTCAGTAAAGATACTGCCCTCTGCTCCTAATACAAGGATGTAAATGTCTGTGACTGAGGATTTGATTTGAATCCTCCATTTCCATTTCAGAGAGGATGCGAGGAAGAATATGTTAGCATAATGAAAAACACCAAGGATCTAATCACTTAACTTAATAGTAGATTTTTTATAAAAAAATGAAATGGCAGCAAGTTTAAAAACATGTTTCTCCCTGGTGTGCAGATCCAGGCAGCGACAGGAGAGGTGAAGTATTCGGGACCCATGGACTGTGTGAAACAGCTCTACAAACAGTCTGGGATCAGAGGGATCTACAGAGGCACCGCTCTGACTCTCATGAGAGGTGAAGCTTTCCTTTGATACTTCCTAGGAGTCATAGTTTGCTGTCAGTTGGACATTTACCACAGCTAGATAAAACAACGAGAACACTTAAAAATGCCCTGTGGAGTTTTTTGTGTAAACATACTGAGATACTGGATATTTTAAATCCAATGCATTTGCTGGTGTTGAATTAGTCTAACACACGAGTCAAACATTTTTATAACAGTGCAATGTTAACTTGCTTGACAATTGAGTTTAATTGTTTCACTTCTCAGTGTCATCCAGCGTTCACTTGTGGCCGTTGTTACTCTTTCTTGAGACATTTTTAATTAGACGTACGGCTTTTGTCGTTGTTGTGATCTGGACTTAAAGAGCGTTGCTATTTTTCTCAGGTGCTTTTGAAGACGTAGCACCTGGCTCGTAGCATCAGCTTTTTGTCGTGAAACCCAATTACCCTCTTTCGTAACAGTGATTAATCAACGTCAGAGTTCAGGGTCATTTTCATGGCGTCTTGTCTACCCTCCTGTCGGGTGTGTATGTTAATGATAATGTTTTTTTTTGTATTAATATTAATAACAATTCACTTTGATTTCTTATGTCCATAATATTCCCGCTAAAGTCACTCTTTTATCTGTTTTGTAGATGTTCCAGCCAGTGGGATGTACTTCACGTCCTACGAGTGGTTGAAGAACGTCCTCACACCGGAGGGAAAAAGGTAAATATTTGTTCTAAAATGCAGTATTAACAACATGGTTTAAAAGATCTCTGAGTATGCAACCCTGTGTGTTCTCCCTGCAGCCACAATGAGCTCAGCATTCCCAGTGTGCTGTTCGCCGGGGGCATGGCCGGCATCTTCAACTGGGCCGTCGCCATCCCAGCTGACGTTCTGAAGTCACGTTACCAAACAGGTGAGGAGAAAATAGCCGCTGCGCTCAGTTGTGATGCAGTCAACTTTATGTAACGCACTGTGCTCCAAGTCAAACAGGTTCACTTTAGAAAAAGGGAAGTCTCTGGGGCAAGGATGTAGTTAAATGTTTAAACGACAGCTAAAGACACATCTTTTTAGATTAGCTTTTTATTAGCAACCCCCCACTTTAAATGTTATTTTAGTCTTTATTATTTACCTACCTTTTATATTGTTTTATTTATTTTATAGGTCTTTAATCTTTTTATTTCTGTTGTACCTATATGTTCACTTTGTTTTATGGGGTTTTATATTATATTTGATATTGTTGCATCGACTCCGTTGATTTTATTTTTATTATCATACATTTGACCTCCTTGTGTCTATCTGATAAAATGTTAGCTGCATGTACCTTTTTAAAGTTCTTAACAAAGAATCTGATGGGAATTTCTTGTTCGTTTTTAACTTGTGATGTGTCATTTTGTAAAGCTCTTTGAGCTGCATGTGTTGAATGAAAAGTGCTATATAAATAAAGCTTTATTATTATTAAATGCCTTTATTATTTAAGGGCCGTTTATTTTTAGATTCCATAATTTGTTGAGGTTAAAGTAAAGGTTGAGGTGTGTCGATAAGTGCAGTCAAACGAGGGCTGCTTTTACATGTTTACTAGCTGTGTTTCTGTCTTCACTTTTTTCGTATTGCTGAAGATGAATTTTTCTTCTACGAAGTTTAAAACATGTGTCTCTCCTTTAGCTCCTGATGGAAAATATCCCAATGGTTTCCGGGACGTTCTGCGGGAGCTGATCAGAGAGGAGGGCGTGGGCTCTCTGTATAAAGGCTTCAACGCAGTCATGCTTAGAGCTTTCCCTGCAAACGCTGTGAGTGCCCTTCAATTATCCTTGGTTTCCGTAACATTGGGAAGGTCTCAGAGGAGCTATACAGTACATTATGACACAAAGCAGGGTTCAGTTTGAGGAGTAAAAGAAAAAATAATAGTCGTCCATTAAGAATAAATCTTGTATTGGCAGCAGGATCTAATGCAGGGGTCACCAACCTTTTTTAGGGTGAGGGCTACTCTCGCTCTCTCTCTCTCTCTCTCTCTCTCTCTCTCCTCTCTCTCTCTCTCTCTCTCTCTCTCTCTCTCTCTCCCTTTCTCTCTCCCTCTCTCTCTCTCTCCCTCCCTCCCTAGCTCGCTCTCTCTCTCTCTCCCTCTGTCTCGCTCGCTCACAGAGGCTGTGTGCTCCTCCGTGGCGATGACGGATTGCGTTAAAAAATAATAATAAACATATTTGTAAAGTGGGGGGACACAAACGGGATTTCAAAAAGAGCGGGGGACATGTCCCCCCTGTCCCAGGTGGAAATTACGCCATGCGTGTGTGTGCGTCAAGTGCAATAAATATATATGCAAGTTGCAACCATAGGTTGCAACACACAGAGTAAAACTCTGCCCCTCATGTGTTGTATAGGCTGGCATGATAGGCTGTTCAATGGGGCTGATGTGTTGTGTAGATTCTGCCAGAAGGAAAATCAGCAGGGAGGTGCCACATTGCTTTTCTTCCCGCAAATCAAGCAAGAACGTGATTGGTCGATATTCATTGTGGGGGAGGAGGGGTGTTAGATAGATATAGAGTTGTAGTAAGTAGATAGAGTTCGCTATGATTTAGGTTTCGTTTATGCAAAGGGTTGATTCTTTTGATTACATTTCCTTTTTTGTTTTGTGTATTTTATACATTTTGGATTTGCTTGGCGAGCTATTTTTAGAACATGCCCAGCGGGCGACTAAGTGCCCGCGGGCACCGTGTTGGCTACCCCTGATCTAATGTATAGTAAAAGAAAAGGAAATAGATCAGATGGACTCCTATCACTCAAATCAAAGACAACAATTTAAGATTAAGACCAAAAACAAGAAAAAGGAAAGCATGATCCCTCTCCTATCTGACATCTTTCAGACCAAATCAAATAACTAGAAGATGAATCAATAAGGAAAAGCTGTAATTTGAACCGCCTCATAAAGCTAAAAGTTACAGGTAAAGTTAAGAATGAAAGTTTCTACATTATATGGATTCATCAACAAAAACTATTAAGGATGTGAGCTGAAATTAAGGGCACAATGTTCTAGATTTACTGTAACTTTGCAGTGAGAAAAATAATACAATTATTGCATATTTAGTCACATATAACTAAGGTTCTTCCTCTCTGAAGAACCAGCACCTTACCATGGTAGAGAGGTTTGTGTGCCCTGATGAACCTGGGGGCTGTGTTGTCTGGAACCTTGTGTTCCTGGTAGGGTCTCCCATGGCAAATTGATCTCAGGCAAGGGGCCAGACTAAGATTGGTTTCCCACGGAGCCCGGCCGGGCACAGCCCAAAAAGGCAACGTGGGCAACACCGCCGCTTCTCCGTCCCGCGGGCCCACCACCTACGGGAAACAGCGATGGGGTCGGGTGCGCTGCCAGAAGGGTGGCAGTGAAAGCAGAGGGTCTCGACAGACCAGACCCGGGCGACAGAAGCTGGCTTTGGGGACGTGGAACGTCACCTCTCTGGGGGGGAAGGAGCCGGAGCTTGTGCGGGAGGTGGAGCGTTACCAGTTGGATCTGGTTGGGCTCACCTCTACGCACAGCGTCGGCTCTGGAACCTTACTTCTGGATAGGGGTTGGACTCTATTCTTCTCCGGAGTTACTCAAGGTGTGAGGCGCCGGGTTGGGTGCTTCGTTGTTGGAGTTTACCCCAGTGGACGAGAGAGTCGCCTCCCTACGCCTGCGGGTTATGGGGGGGAAAACTCTGACTGTTGTGTGTGCTTATGCACCAAACAGCAGTTCAGAGTATACGGCCTTCTTGGAGACCCTGGAAAGAGTCCTGTATGGGGCTCCTGAAGGGGACTCTTTAATCTTGCTGGGAGACTTCAACGCACATGTGGGCAATGATGGAGACACTTGAAGGGGCGTGATTGGGAGGAACGGCCCCCCTGATCTGAACCGGAGTGGTGGTTTGTTACTGGACTTCTGTGCTAGTCATGGATTGACCATAACAAACACCATGTTCGAACATAAGGATGCTCATAAGTGTACGTGGTACCAGAGCACCCTAGGCAGAAGGTCCATGATCGATTTCGTTATCGTATCATCGGACCTGAGGACGTATGTTTTGGACACTCGGGTAAAGAGAGGGGCGGAGTTGTCAACTGATCACCATCTGGTGGTGAGTTGGGTCGAGTGGCGGGGGAAGCCTCTGGACAGACCTGGTAAGCCCAAACGTGTAGTTCGGGTGAACTGGGAACGTCTGGAGGAGGCCCAAGTTCAGGAGGCCTTCAACTCACACCTCCGGCTGAGCTTTTCGGGCATTCCTGTGGAGGTTGGGGACATTGAACCAGAGTGGGCGGTGTTCAAAGCCTCTATTGCCGAAACTGTCCGACACCTCAGGAGGGGGAAGCAGGGAACCATCCAAGCTGTGTACAGTAAGGATGGGACATTGTTGACCTCAACTGATGGAGTGTTAGGGCGTTGGAAGGAACACTTTGAGGAACTCCTGAACCCGACAACTCCGCCCTCTATGTTAGAGGCAGAGCTGGAGTATGACGGGGGATCAACACCAATCTCCCGGGGGGAGGTCACTGAGGTCGTCAAACAACTCTACAGTGGCAAAACCCGGGGGGGGGATGAGATCCGCTCAGAAATGCTGAAGGCTCTGGGTGTTGAGGGACTGTCATGGTCGGAAACAGTACCGAAGGAGTGGCAGACCGGGGTGGTGGTTCCCCTTTTCAAAAAGGGGGATCAGAGGGTGTGTGCCAATTACAGAGGCATCACACTACTCAGCCTCCCCGGGAAAGTTTACTCTAAGGTACTCGAAAGGAGGGTCAGGCCGATTGTCGAACCTCAGATTGAGGAGGAACAATGCGGATTCCGTCCTGGTCGTGGAACGACGGATCAGCTTTTTACTCTCGCAAGGATCCTGGAGGGGGCCTGGGAGTATGCTTATCCGGTCTACATGTGTTTTGTAGACTTGGAGAAGGCGTATGACCGAGTTCCCAGGGAGTTACTGTGGGAGGTGCTGCACGAGTATGGGGTGAGGGGGTCTCTACTCAGGGCCATCCAACCTCTGTACTCCCAAAGTGAGAGCTGTGTCCGGGTCCTCTGCAGTAAGTCGGACCCATTTCCGGTGAGGGTTGGCCTCCGCCAGGGCTGCGCTTTGTCACCAATCCTATTTGTAATATACATGGATCGGATTTTGAGGCGTAGTCGTGGCGGAGGGGGTCTGCAGTTTGGTGGACTAAGGATTGCACCACTGCTTTTTGCAGATGATGTGGTTCTAATGGCTTCATCGGTCTGTGACCTTCAGCACTCACTGGATCGGTTCGCAACCGAGTGTGAAGTGGCTGGGATGAGGATCAGCACCTCCAAATCTGAGGCCATGGTTCTCAGCAGGAAACCGATGGACTGTCCACTCCAAGTAGGGAATGAGTCCTTACCCCAAGTGAAGGAGTTAAAGTATCTCAGGCAGGGGCGGCGGGTACTGTAGGCTAGGGAAGGCTAAGCCTTCCAAAATATTTTTGTCACTGCATCCTGGTAAAATAAAAATATAATGTAGCCTATAATGTTTGTGTCTTTGACATTAGCACTGCCAGGGGTGGCGGGTACTAGGGAAGGCTAAGCCTTCCCAAATATTTTTGTCACTGCATCCTGGTAAAATAAAAATATAATGTAGCCTATAATGTTTGTGTCTTTGACATTAGCACCTGTGCCCTGTACTACGAAGCCAGTTCAACATACCCTGGATATGTTTGAGTTATCTTAACAAACCCTAACAAACGAGATCTCGCTAAGCGGTCCTACGACGCTGGTTATCAACTCAGTAAATCAAGCCAGGGTTTCTCTCTCCAGCTGAGAGCGCGTTCATGTGAAAGGGGCGGGGTTAGCAACATTTGACCAATCACAAACAGGGACAAGCGCATTTTTAAAACATAGGCCTTGTCGGGAGTGGCTATATACAGGACCGTCCTGTACACAACGCCAAATGACTATATACAGGACCGTCCTGTACACAACGCCAAATGACTATATACAGGACCGTCCTGTACACAATGCCAAATGACTATATACAGGACCGTCCTGTATATAGCCATTTCAGAGAGCTGTTTACAGGACGGTCCTGTATATAGCCATTTCGGAGCTTGTATACAGGACGGTCCTGTATAGCCATTTCAGAGACCTTATATACAGGACCGTCCTGTATATAGCCATTTCAGAGACCTTATATACAGGACCGTCCTGTATATAGCCATTTCAGGGCTTCTGTCCAGGACCGTCCTGTATATAGCCATTTCAGAGAGCTGTGTACAGGACGGTCCTGTATATAGCCATTTGGCGTTGTGTACAGGACCGTCCTGTATATAGCCTCGGCCGTCATTGTCCAGTTTCAGCCGGTTTCAATTGGATTATTTTTCACAGTTGCTCCGATCAAATCGGTCTCCTCCATTTTGTAGATTATTTACGATTTTTGAATCCACATAAACACATCGACAAAATCCGGTTTACTTTGAGCATGTTTTAAACAGTTTAATCCCTTTGTGAATTGCTTCCACTTGCGCCGTCCTTTAATTTCTTCATACAGCGGGAATCCAAATGAATTAATCCTGAGTCCAATAACCATCAAAGTCACTCCAGTAGTGCTCCTTAATTACGCTTTCATCCTCCTTTAACAAAATACTTCACATTCATCCAGTTTGTGACAGTAGTTGTAGCATTTTGAGACTTTGAAACTTAAATTACCACTGTTGTTAAAAATGTGTCGTAAAACTGTGAAGTAACACATTTGTTTGTGTGAAACGCTTAATGAACTACATCTCTGGTCTCGCAGACTCTCACAACAACACACTCAAAAAAGTGATTGGCTACCCTCACTATCAACACAATGAAACACATCCAGAAGAATGTCATGCAAAGCTGCCTGCCTGCCTTCGATTCTCTCTGAACTGCCTGATCTTTTTAATGTTTAATGTCAACCATTTGTGCAGACAGCATGAAGTAGAACAGATCGCCGGTGCTAATGTAGCGTTAGCATATATCCCCCGAGCTTAAATGGTAGAGGAGATAGAATGATCACCCCGGTGTGACAGTACTCTTCAAAGGGTTCACGAAATATGACTACTACTCTTATTGTTTAACATTGTGGGTTACTTGATATTACTTCATGTTAAGGCTAATACAAATGACAAGGCTAAGACTGTAATGCTAACTAACGCGCTTGCTACTAGCTAGGTAGCTAACTTGATCCAGCCAGCCACTCCTGGGGGGTATACTACGAATCTAGTTCAACATATCCTGGATATGTTTTGAGTTATCCGGTTGACTTAATCCAAAACGAAGCCGCTCTCGCTAAACTGTCCTACAACGCTGGCTATCAACTCGTTCGCTCAAGCCATCCGTGCCCTATCTAGTTAGGTGCGCGTTCACATAAAATGGGTGGAGCATTCGACCAATCACAAACATGGAGAAGCGTACTGACAGCGTAGCGTCATACTTCCTGAATGAAAAGTCAACTATAATATTAGTCAAATATGAAGAAGTTAAACTTTAAACATCCATGACTTAAACACTTTATCCTGGATAAAAGCCACATAGTTGCACCTGCAAGGTGAATAGCCTACAGCTGGTAAAAGAAAAAGTGTTTGAATGCGTACATTAACAGATATCATTGCCCGTCTAAGACACTAGTGGATCTGACTTTAATTAGCCTACATTTAACTCAAGTGTTTCGTCAACTTAATGTGTTGCTTAAAATAATACTTCTGCATTATGTGACACTGTGAGTGTTGCACGGCCAGATACGGCACATTATGATGTGATATGAATGATAATGGGACACATCGACGTCTGCACTCACAGTGCCGCGGACTGTAGGCTATATGTTACTTTGATCCGGTTACTTATGTTGTGGCAGATATTTAAGTAAGCTTTCTTAACGCTAAATGCTATAATAGTCAGATTGCTCTGAAGATGGGAGGTGATATTCTATTCATTTTCACGTTCACACAGACGGTGTTTGAACTGCAACGGCAGTTTAAACTGTATTTCCTTTATCCTGTAATATGACTTGATCGCTTTAAACTCTGCACACTGTTGTTATCAGCTGTTCCACCATGGTTTCTACCTCAACCTGTAATAGATGTATCCTTATTGAAACGGTTACATTCAATGAAAAATAAAATCAATGTGCAGGCTTACGTGAACACTGTTCTACATGAACAATATGGGCAGTTTATACATTAAATAAATCAACAGTATATAGGCGATATGCTCCAAGTGGAAGCGATTCGCCATTAAAGCAAAGAAGAAGAAGAACTCCGCACAGTTGATCTCTTATCCTGGAACCTATCCTGCTTCGGAGCACAGCCTAGGTTCCAGGATAAGTCACCATGGAGATCGAGCCCGCTAAAAAGCAAACCAGCTTCGTAGTACCGGAAATCCCAGAAGTTATCTTACTAAACGAAAATCCTGCTTCGTAGTATACCCCCCTGGTCCTTTCATCAGACGGGAAGCGAAAGAACGAGCAAGACCCATTGCTGGTATGATTACAGCCTGGTACTAAGCACACAGGCATCTTGTTAAAGTTATCTTATCTTAGCTATCTCTTATATTTAGTGAAGGAAAGTAATTGTGACATCAGTTATGACATCACTTACTCTGGGATTTGTAGTCTTTCTAGTTGCATATTTTTCATAGTCTTATATTTCAACAGTTTTACGACAAACTGTGACTTTTTTGACATGGAAATGTTTTTTTAAGATTGACAAACATCATATGTGTAATTTGTGGCACAATTCAAACGGGATCGAAGATACGTTTTCTCTCTCCATTGACTTCAATACATAATTTTTCCGAAATAAGGTCCCATGGACCGGAAGTAGATGGGCGTGACTTCACCACTCTATTTACTTAACAGGTCTTCAGCCATGATACATACATGCGTCCTAGATGCGGGCTTGCATACACACAGTATCACTCCGCAGCCGCACCCCATCAGTAACGTCCTGATGGTATATGTGCGCGGCAATTAATGAAAAGTAAACTAATATTAGACAAATATGAACTTTAAACATCCATGATTTAAACATATAATCCAAGATACAAGCCACATAGTTGCACCTGCAAGGTGAATACAGAACAACTGGTTAAAAAATAAATAAACTATTATAAAGTGTTTGAAAGCGTACAACAGTTTTATGATATCACTGCCCCATCTAGACACGAGTGGATCTGACTTTAATTACATTTGAGTTGAGGGTTTCGTCAACCTAATGTGTTACTTAAAATAATACTTCTGCATACAGTATGTGACAATGTAAGTGTTGCATGGCCAGATACGGCTCGAGAAGCTGACTAAAATAAGGAAATATATGATATATTATGATATTATATGATCGATGATCTGATTGATGATGTGATATGAAGTGCGACACGTCGGCGTCTTCCCTGCATACGGCAGTTTAAACTGTATTTCCTTTATCCTGTAATATGACTTGATAGATTTAAACTCCGCACACTGAGCTCTGATTGGTCAGCAGGCGGTGCTTTCACTGAGTCGATCTCTTTTCTGACGCCGGAGGTGGGCAGCGTCAGGTAGAAAAAGTTATTTAGCCTTCCCAAACCTGAGCCTCACATGCCGCCTATGATCTCGGGGTCTTGTTCTCGAGTGAGGGAACAATGGAGCGTGAGATGGGCCGGAGAATCGGAGTAGCGGGAGCGGTACTGTAGTCGCTTTACCGCACCGTTGTGACGAAAAGAGAGCTGAGCCAGAAGGCAAAGCTCTCTGTCTACCGGGCCATTTTCGTTCCTACCCTCACCTATGGTCATGAAGGATGGGTCATGACCGAAAGAACGAGATCGCGGATACAAGCGGCCGAGATGGGTTTTCTCCGCAGGGTGGCTGGTGTCTCCCTTAGGGATAAGGTGAGAAGTTCAGTCATCCGGGAGGGACTCGGAGTTGAACCGCTCCTCCTTCGCGTCGAAAGGAGCCAGTTGAGGTGGTTCGGGCACCTAGTTAGGATGCCACCTGGGCGCCTCCCTAGGGAGGTGTTCCAGGCACGTCCAGCTGGGAAGAGACCAAGGGGTAGACCTATAGGACCAGGTGGAGGGATTATATCTCTTCGCTGGCCTGGGAGCGCCTTGGGATCCCCCAGTCAGAGCTGGTTGATGTGGCCAGGGAAAATAAAGTTTGGGGCTCTCTGCTGGAACTGCTACCCCCGCGACCCGACCACGGATAAGCGGGAGAAGATGGATGGATGGATAACTAACTAAGGCCTATGTTAAACATCTATTGTGTATTACATCACTATGATAAACAAACTAAAATGTGTGTGTGTCTTTGTGTATTTTTTTCAGGCTTGTTTCTTAGGGTTTGAGATGGCGATGAAGTTCTTTAACTGGTTAGCACCGGATCTGTGATGAAGACTCGGCATCGCCTTCGTTTGTGAAACCGAAGAAACACAACGTAGTTATTAGCAGCACACACACACATACACACACACATACACACACACACACACACACACACACACACACACACACACACACACACACACACACACACACACACTCAATGAATCACAGAGAGATTTTTCCAATTTCCTATAATGTGCTTTTTATCTTTGAAACCTCAAGCTATGCAGGGCACTTGGATCATTCAGACCTGCGGTGGATTCAGAGCAGAGATGTTGGCTCGGTACCAATATACACACACACACAAACACACACACACACACAGACAGCCGATTGTTCTCACTCCTTTTTGCTTTACTTGTTTTCTTTAAATGGTGTTATTTTTTATATCAGAAAAGGAGTGAAGTGAACATGTCGTGCCTTACCTTTCCGTTATCTGCGAGCAGGTGTGAATATCAGGGAAAAGGTGCTCTGCGTTGTTCTGTGTGTGTTCAGTCTCTCAGCAATACAACACTTCCTGTGAGCTCCGCCTCCACTCAGCGACACCGATGCTAGATACACTTTCTGTTTGTTTTAATGTGAAATATCAGAGTAATCATACTGAGATTTATTGAACAGTTTATGAATGTCATCATGTAAAAATATTAAAGCAGAATCCATATTTAGAAAACAGCCTGTTTTTGCATTTTTTCTAAATTCTCTTTTTAAATTGGATTTATTGTGTTAAAAAGTGAAAGCCTTGACTGTCCGGGCTTATTAGAACAATAATAATGAACTGAGTGATGATAGCCTAAATAAAAGACATTAAATAAGTTTTAAAAAAGGTATATTCAATTATTAAAATATACAGTATAAGTATAGCAAGATCTAATAAAATATGATAATTACAAGTATTTGCTTTTTCTATATGCAGAAATTAATGTTCCAATTGTGATTTTTTTTAAACCACTTGAACTTTATATAAATGTATCTATGCCATGTTGTCTGTTCCAGCCTGGCTTCCAGTGTAAACGGTTAAAATGGCCTCTCTCCCTCTCTGTTGTTTCTTTGCCAAATCATCACGTTGTGGGTGCTAATCCATCGGACTTTAATTACATCTGATGTCCTGGTCAATACTTTCCGACAGGCCGTGCTAAATAAAGAAATCAATAAGCTGCTGAAATGTTAGAGAGTGGGCCGAGAGGAGGAGGAGGAGGAGGAGGAGGAGGAGGAGGAGGAGGGTCAGTCTGCCCCTGCATGATGCTCCAATATGTCTCTCAAATCTCTGGGACAAGCTGATGCTTAGATGACATTTTTCTAATCCGACAATTTGATATTTTGGGGTTGATTGTGAACTATCAGAGTCCAGCGGGTGACCTTTGACCCTGTGCGATGAGTAACACGGAGATACCGTCTGGCCTGAAGGAGCTGCTGCAGGGCTACACCGTGGAGGTGCTTCGACGCAGGCCGGCAAATTTGGTGGAATTTGCCGTGCAGCATTTTACACAAATTCTAGAGGGTCAGAAAAACGACCTAAAAAACAAGAAACGTAGCAACAGATCTTCACTGAAAGGAGTGACCTTTGAAACAAAGTCCAATAAGCCCAAAAAGGAGGATGAAGAGGAGAAAGAGCCTGTAAGTAAGTATTTAATTTCTACTTCATGTTTTTCAAATGGAAAATGTAACTCTAAAATGTGTTGTCTTTAACCTCAAAATCTTCATATTGTCAAAATGACACAAAGGACATGGAGAAATGGTCCAGTGTCGGAAATGTGCAATCTTTTTTTAAAGTTTCATTGATGCAAAGTTTTGACCTACAAGTTCACAGTAAGGCTTACATACATGTGTTCAAAAAAACTGGCTAAAAAAGGTTTGCTCCCCCTACACGAGCAGATATGATTATGCAAAAATAACAATCATTACCTCAAGTAATCCAAAAATGAGCTCTAATATCCCGTACATAGATATTGTCACAGCGGCTAAAAAATGCCATGCAATTAAAAATGATACGAGATCAAACAAAGAAGATTGCTATAAACACATTTAAATTATACAGATATGTTCATGAAGGATAATAGCCTACTACACATGCACTATGTAGTACAACACAATTAAAACGTGCCGACTATAGAGAACACACAGTGATAGTGGAGTGACACGGTCAGCGGGCCATGAATCAAAGCAGACTGCTCAGGGCATTTTCACTCATGTGGTATCGATCCGAACACTCGGGTCACTTCAACTATGACGTTGCTCTATTGAAACTTTTTAATGACTTTAGATGTCCCATGACTTTTCAATGCTTTTCAAATGTTGTAACATACAAGACTATGTTTTTTTGTTTTTTTACAAGCTTGTAATGACATAGGCTATTATACTATATTTTAAATTACTTTTCTGTGCCTTTTTCATGACCTTGTATCACATGCTAAACAATGACATTTGTATTCAATATTCTATGACATTTTGTAACATTTTGGTCACTCAAATCTAGTGTGATTCATCCGCCTCTGTCTTCCTCTCGGCAGAGTCCACCACCGCTAAATACAACCGCAGAGTTTCAGGTCAGTAACTGTTACAATACTTGTGACGAATATTAAATCAGGTTGCCAGGGTTATGAATGATTGACAGTGTGTTGTTTGTTGGTCCTGCTGCAGTCTGTGCAGAAGCGTACAACCCTGACGACGATGAGGACGATGATGCTGAGCCACGGGTCGTGCATCCCAAAACAGACGAGCAGCGGCACAGACTCCAGGACGCCTGCAGAGACATCTTACTGTTCAAAACCCTGGAGCAGGTACAACACTGTGATGATGGCTGGTTTGTGTTTAGTTTTTTAATTAAATTCAGGTTTTATACAGACACACACACACACACACACACACACACACACACACACCTGATGTTACTGTAAGAGCACAAAACGTGAGACCCCATTTCATTTTTTAAGCTTCTACTTTAGTCATGTTTTATCACCTGAGTGTCGTCTTCTTCTTCCTCTTCCTCTTCCTCTTCCTCTTCCTCTTCCTCCTCCTCATTAATCCATACACATTCCTGATTGATGTCCTGCAGGAGCAGTTCTCTGAGGTTTTGGACGGCATGTTCGAGGTGTTGGTCAAACCTCAGGATCACATCATAGACCAGGGAGACGATGGAGACAACTTCTATGTCATAGAGAAGTGAGCGACAGATTTCAAAGTGTCTTTACAATGTTAAACTTTGGTCACCTTTATAATGACTACTGACTTCTGTGTGTCTTATCCTCTCCAGGGGTGTGTATGATATTTTCGTGCAGAAGGACAGAGTGAGCATTTGTGTTGGAAAGTATGACAATAAGGGCAGTTTTGGTGAGCTGGCTCTCATGTACAACACGCCGCGAGCTGCCACCATCACTGCAACTCAGGAAGGAGCCCTGTGGGGCCTGGTGAGTCCAAAAACAATTCAAATGTAGCCTCCAATCAAAGCAAACGCTAAAATGAAACACAACGTTTTATCTTTTTGTGTGCAATTTCAGGATCGAGCCACATTTCATAGGCTGATTCTCAGAAATAATGCGAAGAAGAGGAGGGTGTACGAGGCCTTCATCGAGTGCGTTCCTCTTCTCAAGTCTCTTGAGGTTTGTAAAAAAAACACAAACTCTTTACAAGCAAAATCATCATCATCTTGCGATTCAGGTTGGTCAGCGATTCATTTGTTGTGACATCATGATTTATTTTACCTCCACAAGCTCGCTGAGAGGATGCAGATTGTGGATGTTTTGGGGGTGCGAGTGTTCAAAGATGGAGAGTGCGTATTAATGCAGGTAAAGTGTTAGGACATTTGTCACTCTATCTTTGTCGGTCTTTGTGTTGGACTGAATACTAAATTCCGGCAGTGGCTCAGTCAGTAGGGGCTTGAACCGTGAGCTGTAGGGTCGCCGGTTCAAGCCCCCGACCAGACCTAAATATGGAGTGTGGACTTCTACTTGGAGAGGTCCCAGTTCACCTCCTGCCCTGCCGTGGTGCCCTTGAGCAAGGCACCGGACATCCCCCTTCCCCCCTCACTCCCATTGCTCCCCGGGCGCTGTGCAATAGCTGCCCACTGCTCCTAGTACTAGACTCCTGGTACTAGGATTGGTTAAAAGCAGAGAACACATTTCACTGTGTGTGCTGTGTGCTCTGCATGTGTGACCATTAAAGAGGGTTTCATCCCTCCAATTCTATCTAATTCTATTCTATAAATGTGCCGTTTTCTTCCTGCAGGGGGACGAGGCTGACTGTTTCTACATTGTGGAATCAGGAGAGGTGAAGATAATGATAAAAAGCAAAGTGAGTCTGAACAATAAATGAGTTAATCTACCTCTTTTATCTATGAATTTGATTGCTGGTTTTTGCCATTAACTATTATATATGGAATCTTTTTTTTCTGTGATGTTAATGTACTGATTGACTCACAGGCTGCTGTTTGTGTTACAGACAAAGGCGGGCCAGCCGGATAACACAGAGGTGGAGGTGGCGCGCTGCTCTAAAGGACAGTACTTTGGGGAGTTGGCACTGGTCACCAACAAACCCCGCGCAGCGTCAGTTTACGCTGTGGGAGAAACCAAATGTTTAGGTAAGACCCGAGTGTTTATCCCTCTTTGTGTAGGGAGTCATTCATTTTAGGCCTCTGCACATTTATTTTTAGTAAAAGAGAGTGGCTGGAAAGTGTAGGAGGGATTGTTTCCACAAGTCCTTGAAAGTTTGTGAATTTGATGAACAAAATGAAGTTTAGAAATGGTCATGAATAGGCATCATCAAAGAAATGTAAGTTTTCTTACTTCGCTTTTCAACTTGTAAATATGTCTGTTTATATGCTCTATCTACACAAAATATGGTTTGCTTTTACTGTAACACAGCAGCATAGTTGTGGAGTGCTCTCACATTTAAGTCTTTCTCTCCTAATTGTTCAATATGAGCTTCTTTAAAGCCTGCTGTTTTTTTTTTTTACTATGTGTTAACATTGAAACATTTCTCAAAGTATGCCACGATATGTGCATGACTTTAAGGGAGTAAGGCCTGCAAAGTCTTTCAATGTGATGTTTGAGAAGGTGGGAGACAAAAGCGAACGCAGTCACTCATTTATAAACCAGAGTTATTTTGGGCCAAGAGACCTGGCATCTATATCTCACCCCACTGGAGTTCAGATCTGAGTCCCTTTCCATTAAGCAGTAGGCAAAGACTGAAGCTGTAGTTTGCTGTGGAAGACACTGAACATATCAATACAATGTATCTGCATCCCTACTGTTATTAAATCTATTATATCCACTGAGCCTCTTGATTTAAATGTCTAATTATACAATTTGTTTTCCTTTTAACCTCTAGTTTGACATCATATTGATATTTAATTGAAACACACTCCATCTGCTGAGCTTGTAATGGACTCCAATAATGGCAGTCTTCATCGTAAAGAAAAATGGCACTCGACTGCAAACAAACACTTCTTTAAAGCGAAAGTTATCCATGAAGAAATGTGTTGAATCCAACTCCTTTTAGACAGGTTCACTCCTTTTTTGAAACTACATGTATCCATGCGTAAGACAAGGAGCCTGCAATATGACGACATTCATTTAATTGACTTTCTATTTCTTTCAGTAATTGACATCCAGGCTTTTGAGCGTTTGCTGGGACCCTGCATGGACATCATGAAGAGGAACATTTCCCAGTATGAAGAACAGCGTGTGGCACTTTTGGGGTCACGTGTAGATTTGAAACACTAAGACAATCATAAAGTAGTGTATAAGAACTTAGTGAACTCCTGCTTGGGGTAAATGTACAGTACTCCTTTAACATTGTCCGACACACACTTAAATGTGAAAACCCATCTAAAAGGTCAAGGTTTTATAAGATAAGCTACAGATCCAGAACATTAAATAAGCAATATAAATACATTTTTCATTTGTAAACAATTTATATGAAATTGAGGCACACTTTTATTACCACTTTAGTATCAAAATGATATGCAAAATAAAAAATGTGAGAATTGTTCACCTACACAGAATTCATGTTCATTTGCTGTTAGTGCTCGTCGATCCCCAATTCATTTAAAAGTGCATTTTACAATTGAAATTAGCAAACTATTCACAACCCCTACTCAAACCTTTGTTGTATTGGATGACATTTGTAAACTAGTTTTTAAATAACATCTTGAGTAAGGAGTGAAATTGCAAAATGACAAACATGATGTAAAAAAATAAAGGATTACATCTTAATTTTTCAAGTTTTTTGGAGTTTGTTTTATTTGAGTTACAAAATATGAAGTGCCATCAGCAGACTCTACAGGAGAGTTTGCCAACCTTCTTGTGTTACAAGTATTTACACCCAAAAATCAAGGATATCCATCTACATTTCCACACTTTGCTTTCAGGTTTGTCCCAGAGTTTCAAGTCTCTGTTAAGTTGTCCAAGTTCCATTGTCAAAGTTTAAATATTTAAAATATTTACAAAGTCCTGTATTCAAAAACTCCCAAATGATAAGGTAGCTTGTTCGATGCAAAGGCCGGCGCCAGAAGTGAAACTGCGACGATGGTGAGAAAAATGAGCTGGTTGAATTAGAGGAGCTGTTAAACGAACGTGGTCCTACAGGGTCTCCATAAATCAATAGTTCCTCTCAAAGAAAGCCGGGCGAGGAAGTCTGTACACAATTATTTAAAATTACTTTTTTGAAATGTCTCTTTTGCCATCGCGGAGCAACAGCCTCTATGATCCACACTTGTGAAGAAATTAATGACAATCAATAAAAGACAGAGTAAAGAAAAAAAGGCCACCCAGATAGTCACTCAATGTTCATCAAACATCCTGATTCTTTTTCAGAGCATCTCCGAACATTAAAATAAAACTCCAATAAATAGAAATACAGCAGAGAAATGGTCAAATAAGACTGATTCTGGTTCGGTCCATCCCTGAGTTCTTTTGAGAAGGACAAAAAAATACCAGACAGGAGTGACAAAAGGAAAAAAAAAAGCGTCGATAGGGTTTATCCTATACATTCCCATTGTGTCCGGGCAAAAACAAAGTCTCATATTCCTCTGGTTTCCTGAGGCTCATCAGCAAGAACATCCGTTGATGGTACGGCTCCCAGCAGTGAAGGTTACACAGAGGTGATGACAATCATGAGGTGTGGTGAGATGCTGGAGATCCTGTTGAGAAGGTCGGGGGCGAGCTGCGACAGGTGGCTCTCGGAGAATTCACATGGTGGGAAAATCTGCAGCACATAGGCAGGCTGAAAAAAGAAACGTCTATTACAAATAGGTATTTACGGAAAGGCGTTTCATAAAGCAGGGTTGTACTTCTGAACATGCTCAGTGTTTGTGCAATGACAGAGAAATAATAAAATACAGTCCGCACAGAAAACAGACAATATCTTGAAAGGAGACTTTAGAGGTCACACCAGAGTTCATTTAAGTAAAGAAAAAAAAGATAGTTAAACAAATAAAACGTAATCCCATAGTAATTTTCTCTCTTTAACTTTCAAACACACAGTTCAGTTTGCTCTCTGACTTTGTCCCAGATCCTGATCCTTAGAACTAAAATATTTGGTTTTCCTAGAATAGATTGAAATGCTAATATAAATACATTTGATACATGAGTAAGGCTCAATAAAATATACAGCTGACAAATCATACCGACTAAAACTATAAAAGATATAAATGACTCAAATGTGACTAAACTAATAACTTGTTTTTTCCCCAAGTACTAGGACTAAATCCTTTTATCAAATAATGATTAACCTTCCATAAAAAAAACATGTTAAAACACAAGACGCCGTGAAACAATCCTTCATGTCTCACCTGATTGGAGCCTGGGTTGGGGATATTGATGATACCAGCAGCCAACTTTGCCTGCAGGTAGTTGATGAACGCAGCCTTAAGAGCTTGAGTTTGGTTCAGGACGTCGTCTTGGTCTCGCCCGCATGGCAGTGCAAGGAGGAGACAGAAGTCGCTGTCCCCCTGTACAAATAAACATGTAAATGTTGTTCAGCAAAGGAAACAGAACTTTCTCGTAGGGAGTTAGGGTTTCGGATATGAACTGACATGTATGTCAGTGTGTTTTAGGTTTTAGCTGTGACGGTGTTTTATCAGTTATAACAAAATGAAGATGGGTAATTGACCTTAAACATGATTCCATCTCTTTTCACAGGCCATGTGAAGTAACATATGATAAGGATTTATTTAAATAGATGCATTTATTGGATTCAAAAGGAAAATAACATGTCAACATCTGTTAAGGAAGTAGTATTCGGTGTCATGACAGTAAATTAGTAAATGTTATGGGATTCAATCTCAGCGTTAGTAGTAAGTAACTTTGAGTCGTCAGTGAGAACAGGCAACTGAGTAAGCTGTTAACCTTAAACACTTTTTTTTTTATTGTTTAAGGGTTAGGGTCCCTGTATGCTTTAATCCGCACACCCATAGTATGACTAAAACAAAAAGACACGTACCGTCATTCTTCGGGCTACACTCTCCAATTGTGAAGCCTCTAGTCTCATTCTCTGGACAATCCTAAGCAATGCGCCTCCTTCTTGTAGGGGCAGTGACCGATGAGCCAAAGCTTTGTTGCCACAGACAAAATGCAACTGGACTGCAGCTGTGTCGTTTTTCAGTGCCAGCAGGCCTTGCCAAACAATAGGGTATTTCTGTTTAAATGTGAGACAAAACAGAGACATGTCAGACAAAGCCGCTTCTTGTTCAGCCTAACAACCATGAACACAATTCAAACTGATACGTTTTGTCTTACCGTGAGCAACTGTAACATATTAACAGGCTGCGTCATCTTGCCATCTGGTTTCGTCTGGAGGTCTGCACCCTATAGATTACAGACAATAGTGTTATGTGTCATGAAAAGTAGTTTCTGAAACATGAAGACACCCCGATCTTGCATATTTACTCAGTTGGCCAGTGTTATATTGCCAGTCCCGCTTACCGCCACATACAACAGCTTTCAAAATGACCATAAAGTTAAATCAACAGCTTTTTAAAAAAAAAAAAAAGTTTAAAAAAAAAAACGGAACATTTCAAGATCGTAAGATTTATTGCAGGAATGTGGACTCCATCAGAATACCTTTATTAGTCCCACAGAGGGGAAATTTGCAATGACATTTAACTAGGTTAACCTACTGGATAGTTTATTGCAGTGAACTCACCATGGTTGGTGTGACATTCAGAGGTGGCTGGTTAAGTCCAACAGGTGACGTCTCTGGTATTTGAGATTGGATGCCTCCTCGGTTTGAGTACATCCCCGAGTACTCGGGGAATGAGCCACTAGGTCCTGGTGGCATTAGCTGAGCTCTCTGGGGAGATGCCATTGCTTGCCCAGATTGTCTGATCCCCATCAATCCATCTTTAGGAAGAGGAGAGTGTGGCCTCTTTGCCTCTAATTGCTTTGTTATATCTTTCTCAGACACACCTTTAGACAAAACATGTGCTCTTGGAGACAAGGATAAGGACAGATTGGAGGGCGCCGAGGAGGGGGGAAGAATCTCTTGAATGTGTCCAGAATGAGGATCTGTGGCCAAACGCTCTCCCTGTTGGTGCAAGAGCACTCGCATATCTCGTTGTGCCATGTACGTTTCTAACTGGACACTACGCCCACGAGGATCTGACTGCATAGTCTCTGGTTTTAATTGTGCAGCAGACTGTCTTGCTTGAGCCTGGTGGAAGCGCCTGGCTTCTTCTTGTTCCCCCTCATGACCCCTCAACGAAGCTGGATTTACCTTGAGAACCTTGTCTCTGCCAACAGTCTGTGGTGACGTTGGCCGTGGCTGCATGGATCCAGACCAAGGAGAGGCAAGAGGCTCACTATGCATCCCATAGCTCATCACAGAGAGAGGTGGAGTATTAACCCGAACATCTCCTTGGACAAGATGCCCCACTGGAATTGACTGGGCAACACGGTGAGGAGACATCCGTCCCAAGCCTCCTTGCACACTGTGAGGTTGCATGATAACCGACTGCTCTTGATGATGTACACCCGAGATAAACTGTTGCATGGCAGGAAGGCCAGTGGATAACATCCCTGGTATGCCCTTGGGTGAGGAGGAGCCAATGGGTGAGGACACTTTAGTAAACGGAGAGTGGGGATGACCTGACTTTCGAGGGGATCGTGGTTCTTGTTTGACTCCACTGATATGAGAGGGAGCTCTGTCACCAGCCGCAGTAACAAAGCCTACATGGTTACCAGGCGGAGAGGGCAAATGGGGGCTTATTGCAGGACTTATAGCAGAGGTCCAAGATGGTTTGGCTCCATCCGTACTGTGAGGATCAGCACTGTCCATTTTCTTCTGATGTTTTATTGGCATGTATTCTTGATGGTAACTCATTACTTGTTGGTTACCTTGTGGGAGACGCTTCACTACTCCTTGAGGTCCAGGTTGGTAAGAAGATTCCATCTTTTCCAAACCCGTGCTTTCTTGTTTAATAGAAGTCGACTGCATTTTACCAGGATGCCCATGATCTGTCTGCGATGAAGGCCCCTTTTGAAGTCCTAGATGAGAATGACCATACATTTCTTGTTTTATCTGGGGCATGGATACCAACTGCTGAGATTCCATGTCACCTGCTGTTGCTTGTGGGATCTGACTTATTTTTGCACTTATCCTCTGTGGTCCCTCTATTTTCTTGCCCGAGTGGCTCAAAACTACCACTCCTTCAGATGTATTAACTCTTAGACCTGGGCAAGATCCTGCACCAAGAGTGGGGCTCTCGACAATGAATCGTGTGGCACTTCCCACCTCATCCGCCACAGGCCCGTGGTATGATCCAGAATCGTCCTTGTTAGGCCTATAAGTTGGCTTGGGTAAAGTCATATCCACACAGGGATTTCCAATGTTTATGTTAACTTTGTCATCGGACTCAGGAGGGTTGCAGACGCGACTGATAACAGAGGTTGCAGTGGATGCAATAACAGAGATCACAGACTTCGACTCAGGAGATGGTAGTAAGGCTGGAGGTCGAACTATAGGGGGCGCTGGATGAGCTACCATTAAACTGCTAGGTAGTGGTGACTTATTTGGCACAACAGCTGATGGAGTATTACTCTCAGAAGGATTCTGGTCTCGCAGAGTGGGTAGATTACAAGGAATAGAACTACTGCCTGGCAATGAAAGATTTTTGTGTTTCATAAGAATCTGTCTCAAATCACTTGTGCCATGATCAATAATCATGTTGTCAGAGTCTGAGGGTAAAGACTGGTTTTCCTTTGATGATAACGGCATGAAGG